CACCTTCCTGTTTCCTAGAAGAGAGGAGTATTTGGACCTTCATCTCCTTCCATAGAACTTGGGCAATAGTGGGTTCCAGCTGCATGGACGAGTGAGGAGGGAACCTGCATGTCCTCTACCAAGGATTAACCTGCTACATTCCCAGACTCATTGTATTGAAACGTTTGTTTTAACCAACATAAATGACATTTGAATCTGATTAGAAGAGGGGAGGAAAAAGAGGTGCCTTATTAGGATATTGAATTATCGACTGAGTTCAAACAGACATGCAACCAGGTCTTAGGAAATAATGTTAGAGATTAGAATGCTGGAGAATAGTAACAAGAAGTCCTTCCCCCGACATAAGAGTGCTGTTTTGTGGTGTTTTTATTTTTATGAGAGTTATACATGACTGTAGTTTAGAAAGACAACTAGATGCACAGGATTCCTTAAGATAGCCTGTAGCCCACGCATCCCTCCTTTCCAGGAGACACTATTCTCAATTGCTTGCACTATGTATGTTGTATGGTGAACTTTCTTAGTAGTATGGTTGTATTGCTACTTCTTGGTTTTTTTTTTTTTCTTTCTTTCTTTCAATTTTAGGCATATCTGTTGAATTTCTGACTTTGGAAGGTGAGGGTGGAGCTTTTTCACTACTCCACCCTCTGCCATGCCTGCACATATCCTGCTCCCCATTCTCTCAGCATACTTAGATTTCAGATCAGTATTTGGTTGTGACATTTTTATGACCGCACATTAATGCAGAGGGAAGCTCTGCTGGTGTACATTATTACTTTTTCTGCATGGTTTCTTCTTTTCTCTAATAATTACATCCGTAGTTCAACTTTTTATCTTGAAAATATTAATGCATGCTTATTTTGCGCCAGGGACTAGATTGAATATTTTTTATGGCCCATCCCTTTCAATCCTGATAGCATGCCAACCATTTAACTTCTGCATTTCAGTTTCTCCATCTGCAAAATTGGAGTTAGTACTGAGTCAGGGAGAGGTTAAATAAATTTGTCTAAGGTCACTCAGCTAGAAAGTGGTTATGAAAGAGGAATTTGAATCCATGTGTGTGTGATTCTAGGGCCAGACCTTTCTTTGATGTTTCTAGCCTAGGACTGACATTACTGAATGGCATCTGGAAGCAAGGTGGCGAAGATGAGATAGAATAGTGAAGAATTCAAAAGAGAATGTTGTGGGTGGGGGGAGGCAGAGTCACTTCTGTTCAAAAAAATAATAATTTATATACATCACTCAAAATAACTACATGCACATGCAGTTCTGTGCTAGTCTTGTGTGAATACCGTTTAATGCTTTTATGTCCACTGGCATTTTCTTCCCAAGGAGAAACTTCTTTCCTGCTCTAATCTGGGGCACAGCCGCCTTCCCAGGGCTTCTCTTCATCTCCATCTCTTGCATGAGCTAGCCTTTCCCTTGGCTTCTTCCATTCTTTTGGTGGAGCATGTTCACATCTTTCAGTATCTCCCTGAAGCAAATTTGTGGAGACTATTCAAATTCCCAATATTTATTGTACAGCATTTTAAATTTTCCTTCAAAAATGTGGGCTCACTTTCTAGGCCTCTGGTTCCAGTGTTGCTGTGAAGGCTGAAGCCCTTCCAATTCTAGATTCCTGGTGTGGGACTTGCTTCACTTTTCTTTGGGATTCTTAGAGGCTCATTGCCTTGTCTCTAATGTCTTGACATTCAGTGTTGACATTTCATGGTTTGGATCTTATTTGAATCCATATGCCTAACCCTTTCAATTTGGAGACACCTGGCTTTGGTTTTTCTCTGACTTTTTTTCATTTTCTGTCTGTAACTCTTATTGTTGGGCCTATGGACCTTTATGACACTGGTTAATTATTTTTCTTTTTCTTCTTTCTCTTGTCTTTGTTTTTGCTTTATATTCTGGGACCTTTTCAATTTTATGGTCAGAGCTTTTTGAGTCTTTAATTTTTGCTTTCCTGGTTTTAATTCAGTGATGACAGTGTTGTCAAAATACAAATTATCATAAGATTTACTCTTTAATGTTAGCAGTGAATGGTTTTAAGTATATTTACAGAATTGTGCAGTCATCACCACTAATTGTAGAATGTTTTCATCTGCTCTCTAAAAGAAATTCTACCAACTGGTGTCCCTTGCCTCCTTCCTTCCTTCAGCTCCTGGCAGCCACCAGTATACTTTCTGTCTCTGTGTGTTTGTCTGTAATGGACAATCATTATAAATGGAATCTTAGAATAAGTGTTCTTTTGTGACTTGCTTTTTTAACTTAGCATAATGTTTTAAAGAATCGTCCCAGTTTTTCATTGTCAAACAGGATTTTATTATATGACTATCTACGTATAACGTTTGTTTATCCATTCATCTCTTGATGGACATTAAGTTTATGTTCACATTTTGACTAGTGTGAATGATGCTGGTATAAATGTTAGTGTTTAAGTTTGATTTGGACTATATTTTCAGCTCCCTTGGGTGTGTATCTGGGAGAATGATTGCTAGATCCTGTGGTAATTGTTTAATGTGGAGTACTGCCAAAGGGTTTCCCACAGCAGCTAAACTATTTTACATTCCCACCAGCAATGTTTGAAAGTTCCAGTTTCTCCACATCTTTACCAACACTGTTATCCTTTTTTAAATTTTAGCCATATTATTGGTTTTCATGTTTGAATTTAAGAGCTCCTCCCCAGTTTGTAAGAGTTCTCAATGTTCTTTAAAAGTAGCTTATAATTTCATGAATATCAGGTTGTATTAATAAATAACTATAAAGTTTTCTGTCCAGTTTTTGTTTACTTCAAGCTGCTTTTTCTTGTTTTGGTCTCCCTCTTTCATATAGAAGCCTTTTGATTTGTGTTCAGAAGTCCTCAATTATTCATGAATGGTTCCTAATAGGCTGGCTGTAAATTGAGTATGTGAGGCTTTTGGACCTTGCACAGTTTTGCAGGATAGTGGCCTGGCCATTTGTTGAGGGAAGAATAGCTAGTGTTAATAACTGCAGATCTTTTCTGAGGGAAAGTGCCCCCTTCTACCTGGAGGACAGAGGACTGTTTGCCTCTGTTCTAGAGCTTACTAGTGATAAACTGGTGGCCAATCTCAGATTAGTGTGCTTAGGTTTACTTAATCCCTCTGCTTTTGGTATGGTACCTCTGCCCCAAGCGTTCATGGTGTCCCAGAGACCTCCTCTTAAAAGCAAGCTTGCTGCTGGATTGTGGAGGAGTTGTTTCCTGAGGCTTGTTGGAGAGTTGGTGATTGGGATTCAATGCTTAACAAAAAGCTCTGATTAAGAGCCCACTTTAATCCAGTGTACTTTGATGGTAACCTGATTGGATCTGCCAAGACCTTATTTCCAGATTAGGTCATTCTGAGGTGGGCAGGACTTCAGTATGTCTTTTGGGAGTGGGGCATTCAACAGCTAACAGATGGTGACTAACAGTTCTCCACTTAACAAAATATTTTTCATGCATGAGAAGTATTCATGCTTTATCTCCTTCTCACACTTTTTGAATAAGGAAGAGGTATCTAAATAATTTTATGAGTTATGCATAATATTATTAGGAATATGAGACATAGTGTAAAAAAAATATAGACATATCACTCTTGAACATATTTGACAAAAACAACCTAACTAGTACAATGGCACATTGAATCTATCAAGATAGTTGGAGTCAGTATAGTATTCTTTTGCTTTTATCCTGGGAAATGCAAGACTACTTCAATGTTAGAAACTATTGTAATTAATCCACTGCAATTAATAAGTGAAAGGAGAAAAATGTACACATTTAAACTAAATAGATACCTATATATTTATTTGCTAAAGTTCAGTACTCAGACATGGTAAAATCTTTTAGCAAACTATCTGTAGAAGTTTTCATGACGTGATCAAAGTAAAAAACCGGGATTAAAGCAAACTTAATTCTAATTTAAGACAAGGATGTGTACATAGTATTCTTCCCTATGCTCACTATTTGGCCTTGTGCTGAGGCTTTAGTGAGTTCAGGAAGATGAGGGCAAGCAAATGAGGCATAAGCATGAGTTAAAGGAGGGATAAGACCATTGTTGTAGATGTTGTAATTATTTGTATAAAACATACAAGAAAATTTTCATTATTGCCACAAAAATCACAGTTGTCACTCAGGTAGAGAGCTGGTAAGGCTGCTGGAAACAGAAACAATGGGTGGGGATGGCTCACCTCTGGAGGGTGGCCTGCTGTTAAACATTGCTAGAGTCTGTCTTAGCAATGCACTGTTTGGACTTCATCCTAAAAAAAGTAGAAGAGTCTCATAAAGAAATGCACAAGGAAATCTACTGCATGCTATTGGGAAAGACTTGAAAGTACTAAATGTCCTTTATAGAGACTTGATAAATTGAGGGCATCCAAGTGTGCTTACATGTGCTGCAACCACTTGGAAAGCTAAGAAAATACTATGGGATTATTTCTTGTGTGGAATATGGAAAAGCTAACATGATTGTGTTCTAGAATAAGTTGTTATCCAGGAGTTCATTTGAACAGGGTAACATTTTTTAAGTTTGTAGCAGTAACTTAGAGCCATATTTGTTACTGGTCTGTAAGTTCTAATGTGGATCCTTATGAAATAAGTTTTCACTTACTCTTGGATCCATTGTAATATTCCAACTTGTCTCTCCCATGTTACTTTTTGTAATTTTTTACTTTTTTAAAAATTGTACATCTTTTTGGGTAGTCTTAAATCCTTTCATAAACCATTTAGGGTGAAGAATGATGATCAGTTAATATTTATTGAACTGTGATGCGGTGCACACTGTTAAAGCTTCTTTACAACTACTTTTTTTGTTAAAGGAGTGTTAGTGTTTTGATAAAGATGTTTGAGGGACAGCATGGGCTGGAAACGTGTGTTTACATAATATAAATAGTAGGCTTGCATTTATATGTTTACGTAATATTAAACCAAACATTTGTATTTTCTCATAAATATCATAGATGTTTAAAGTAGTTGAGTGTGATAGAAACCTAAGTAGCTAACTGTAGCTTTTTTCTTTCAGAACTTAAATGAATATGTTGACGCATTGATTACCTTGAAACAAAAAATTATTAATACAGAGTAAGTATATTTGCATACATTTGGCAGAATTTTGTAAGCCTGACAAACTGAAGGTCATGGAAGTTTTGGGCCCTGAGGGTTAGGCTATGAGGTACTCATTCTGGTAACATTTCTGTGAGTTCTCTCAGCAACTTGAACCTTTATTTAGTGGCTCACAGGTCTTTTAAACAAAGCTCCTGGGTAAGTAGGAAGTTACTTTTGCTGGATTGGAATTTTTTAAAAGCTGTTTTGTGTTTTCAAAATCATTTTAGCTTTATGCTGAATGTAAAATTTTCTCACAGTATTTTATAGCCATGATTTCAGATTTACTTTTTTAATGCTATAATAGTCTTATGAAATTTAGGCCACAATGCTACTTTGATCAAAGTGATTTTTAATTAAAAGCTCATATTAGTGCAATGCTTTTGAGGTATTTAAGGTAACACATTAGCATACATTGTGTCTGGAAACCCAGAGGAGAGGCAGCTTTGTATGATTTGCAACATGATTTTAACATAGTGTATTTTCTAAATAAAAAGAATAACGTAATTCTTTTCTTTGTTACAGTAATTTGCTAACAGAATACCAGAAGAAATGTGATGATATCCTTTTACTGTTTATTTCTTTTGAATGTTTAGATTTATTTATATATAATAGAGATGTGAAGACTGATCTTTTTAATAGTTATCTTTTGGAAGGCAGAGTTTCCAGGCTCAAATAAAAAGTGTTTCTGATGGGCATAATTGACAGCTAGTCCTTTTAGTTTTAATGCATACTTAAAGTTCTAAGACAAGGAGATTTAGCAGCCTGTTTTGTTTCTATTACTCTGATTTTTTTAAGGTATTATAAGCTTTGTAATACCATTTTTACTGAGGATGTAGCATCTTAGGATATGTTTTGACACTTAGGAATTACTTTCTGAATATTCCTTTTGAATCTGCAAAAAGTATACTTGAGAACATTCAAAATGTTGGGAAAAACTTGTTTAATTATTTTGTGATTAATAGAGAATTAGTGTGTATATCAAAAACCATATAGAAATAATATGATTTTTATATTCATAAGGAAATTCTTGGGCTTAGAGTCAGTTTGTTCAATAAATATTTACAAAACACCTGTAATTTAGTTAGCTCTGGTTAAATATTTTCTTAGCAGACAGAGAAAGGTCTGTATTACTGATCTTTCCACATCTTTGGTGATAACACTTGCCTTGATTTAAGTCTCTCCCATAAAAATACAGAATTTCTCCCATGAAAACAAACATATATGTGCCCATAGAGATCATAATACTTCAACTTTATTTTCCAGGTTGGGACAGATTTCTGCTGTCACAACAATTGAATCTCACGTTATTTTGACAGCAACTTGAGGCCTACTTCAGTATTATTTTTGGCATACTGAATGTAATTGTGATCTCCAATTATTTATTTGTATTCATATCATGATATCTAATTTGTATAATTAGAGCAAGGTAATAGTATTTAGATTTAGTTTTAGTGTTTGAATATTTACATTAAAAATTGGAAGTCACTGAAAATTTCTCATGCTTCATTTTGTGAAACTATTAATTTGTTTAATTACAAATGCATAAAAATCACAAGAGTAATATGTTTGATTTTAAGAGTGGTACAGAAACAATTATCATAACTACTTCTAGATTGCTAAATAGAAAAATAGATGAGCAGCTTCATATGTGTGTATGCTAGTCAGTTTTTCGTTGCTGTGACCAAAATACTTGACAAGAGCAACTTAGAGGAGGATAAGTTTAATTTGCTTTACAACTTAAAAACCCAGTCACACATTTATTATGGCTTTTTTCTATAATTTGCTTCCTTTTGCTACTCACATAGCAACAGATTTTCTCTTTTTTTCCCCCTCAAGATTAGAAAGTTATATTTTTCAATAAGTGGGCTCTGATAAAATCAGCATTATTCAGTGCGTTTTTTTTTTTTTTTTTTTTTATATTCTGACCATTTTATTGTCTATCATTGCTTCTTTCCAAAGGACAGGAAATACATTGTTTTCATGACTTTTTAAAAAATTTTTTTTCAAAGACTTCTCAACCTTGAGAACCTTAAGATGCAGGAGCTGCAGATGTGTTTTTACAAATATACATACACATGCTGTGCTGGGCTGTGAGTAAACAAGGGAGTTGCTAGGAAGTGAAACTTCAAAGAATTATTCTTTGCTGTCTAAGCATATTTACTAGCAAATGAAATTGAGGTTATCAAATTGTCTGAATTGTAAAAATGAAGACCCATGTAGATTTTATAATCTCTCTGTAGCTTTTGTGGATTTTATGTTCTCTTTGTATTTCTTTTCTAATTACTCATTAAGGGTAGTTATGTGATTTTGTGAATTATATAACTCTTGTCTGTTGCTATTATTCTCTGAGTTATTCAAGAAATGAAGGGCAGGTTATTGGGAATTCAGATATATATGGAATATCAAAGTATTTTCTATTTACTGGTTAATGCTTGGTCTTTATTCTTGTAATTTAACTCTAACCAATCAAGTCTTCACAGAGCTGTTTTTTTTAGGGAAATAGGTATTTTGGTAAATAGGAATAACTCAGTAAAAAGACATTACTGTGTTACAAGTAGAAACTTAGATGTTATTTTCTGGGGTTTATGATCTTTCTTGTATGTTCATTGATTATAGATTATTAAAGATAACTGTAAAATGAGTTTTATCTGATACTCACCTCTCCAGGTTAGTATCAGATGATAAAATTCTCAGAGTTTTCTTTAATAAGTTTTACAGCTGCAGTTTGCAAGAAGGTAAGCCAACCTCTTTTCATAGTTGGTGATACCACTTGTTTGAGTGTTTGATTTGGAATAGGTATTTGTAGGCCAGATTTTAAACAGAATCTAACAAAACATACCTAGGATTGATCCTAGGTATAGTATGTTGCTTTATTGCTCATAATAAAAGATTTGCATTTTTCTGCCACATCATTTGAATGGATTTACTTAGGTCTTAAGTTGCAGCCTGGTGTTTCATCTTTTCATTGACTTTTGCTGACTACATTGCAACTGAGATGAAGCTTATTCTCAAATTACTGTTGTCCACATGAATTTCACTTTTTAACATGGTTGTTTATCTAGTGTTATTTTACACAATCTAATTACTTATCTAATTACTTTAGCAATATTTCATGTTCTGTTTACATTTGTCATTTAGAAGAAGGCTCAAGTGTGGTTTTAACCCAAATTCCAAAATAGCCTATCACTTAATTTGAATAAATAGGGATGCATTCAAGATTGGAAGTGCCATGTTTGCAGACAGTTCTTGAACACATTCTCTAGCAGAGAGAAGAGGCTTCCAGGGAGGTCTACTTGTACTTGTTTCCCAAGTTGCTTTTTGATACACTTTTAACAAAAATAGACTGTTATTTCTAAGAAATTAAGCAATATGAAGATCATATTAGTGTAAGTAGGTATAAATGGTAGAAATGTATTTAAAAAGATTATTTTCTTTTTTTTGGTTCCAAGTTAGAAATCTCAGATCATCAGTATAGGTGTTCAGCAATTCACTGCAGATTCTCTTGTGTAATGACATTATTCATTGTTCGTTTTTAGAGAAAATAGTACTTTACATCACCAAGTGGAGCAGATGCTGCAGAAAATTTCTCCTCTGCAGAAGTGTCAGGAAGAACTAGGATCTTTAAAAGCAGAGCTAGAAGAGAAAAAGGTAACTACTATCATTTCCTATAAAAGCCTATTGTCAGTACATTAATTCTGTCACTGTAATTGGTAAAAGGGCACTTTTAATGTGTTATCAAAGCAAATAAAAGTTAATATATCACTGTCCTTAGAGAACACTGAACTGATTGATTAATGGCTTCACAGTGATTACTAGCTCTACAATACTGTGTTAGTTCCTTATGCTTTTTGAGGGGCTCCACTAGAGAAAACTGACAACTGAGTGTTTTTATGTTTGTTTGTTTTTTAATGTGTCCTACGCTAATTCAGTTTTTCCCCTAAATGTGAAATAATGTGCAAAAATTTACACTTAAATCATTGTGTGTGACTGAGAAAGTGGGAGAGAATTTGATTTCATCCAGTAGTGCTGGACAGCCCAGGGTAGGACTCAGGGTCTCTGTTTTAGTATGAGTGAAGATGTCCTATAGAGAACTCACTCTCATGGTTCATGAACTAATCAATGTACTAAGCAATGTCTATATATCCTTTTACCACTATTACCTGGTAGTTTGGTTTGGTCCTGATTTTAGATTTCTGTTCTTGTAGTTATGTTTGGTTCTTTGTGGTTTCTCATTGTCTGTGAGCAGTGCATAAAGTGAGAGTCCTTCACTAATATTCACATGCTCTCATAGGTAAGTGTTGAGGTTAGAAGGTACTTCCTGTTTGAAACAGTCTGATACTATTTATGCAATGATTTGAAGTCTTGGAAAAAAACACCTATTTTAGATATAAAACTCTGATAAGGTTATCCTTTCATGGAGTTTATTTTCCTTTTCAAAACCCAGTTTCCTGGAAAACTTTTTTTTTAAATACCTTAAACTTAGGATAATTTTCTGTATAAATATACCTTTTACAAGAACCTTAAAAAAGAATTCATGGCTACTACAGATAAAATTATTGGAAATCCCACAAGTCATATGGTTTACATGAGACAGATTGTTACCACCCTGGAGTATTCTCCCCTTTCCAACCCATGGCTCTTGTGTGAGAGTATTTGTGCCTTCTGGTCTTTCTTACGTGGTGCTCTTTCACTAGAGACATGTAGCTATCTGAGCTCTTATGTACTTGAATGATACATATTTATTTACTGTTTTTTGTAAAAATTCTTCATTCAACTATGCAGTGAAAGTTGAACAGAAACAGTTGCAGTGTTCAATTATGTCTATCTGTGATTATAAAACCTATGTCTGAGAGGGAACCTTGGAGTCAGACCTCAATAATAAAACTCTTAATTACTCTCTGTGACTTTAAAAAAATAAATTCCCCTCAAGCCCTCAGACTCATTTGAAAAAGGCCTCTAGAGCTGGTGCGATAGAGAAATATATATATAAATATATATATATGTATATAAATGTCACCCTCAATTACAGAGTCTTTCCCAGTCCATAGGGCTGTCAGGGTATATATATTAGAGTTCACACATTTTTCCCAGTTATCATTAAGTATAGTATTTTGTTTTGTATTTTTTCCACAGTAGTACTAAAACTAATATTTACTGAGCTCTAAATTTCTTCTAAGTATATTGAATTTTATTGTTTAAGACAAGAATATTAGCTATTTGATATTTAAACCAGTTATTAAAGGGTTTGGAATTGTCTTAAAATAAGTTATTATTTTGTTTTGTAGCTTTTATATGAATGTATTACCAATTATATGTATTAAGAATCTAATTAAACTTATTAAAATATTCAATGAATTATATTTGGTTTCCTGCTGAATATATCTATTCTTTTGGTTAATTTCATACTGTGAAAGGATGATAGTTTGACTTCTCAAGATCAAAACAAGTTATGACCTATTGTTGCTACTTTTATTTGGACAGTTTTTGTTTGTTTCTTTAGAGTTCTCTAAAGTTATATCAGGACACTCACCAGGAATATGCTCGTGTAAAAGAGGAATGCTTGAAAAGTGATGCACAGTGAGTAGTTTTAAAATTACTATAGAAATGGGGTTTTCATATTTGAAAGTAGATATTCCATAAATCAGTAGTATTTCTCTTTTCTCAGTCTTTGGATTTTTTGGCCATGATTAGCTATGTGGTCTTGAACTAGTTAGTCTCTCAACCTTGATTTCCACCTTTGTAAAATGGGAATTGTATCTACTTTGAGCAATTATAAGGAAGATTAGAAGGTCCTGTGTTAAAGTGCTGCAAAAAGAAGTACATAAAAGTTTTTTATTCTGTACACATGCATGTGTGTCCGTGTGTCTATTGACTTCTTTCTTTGTGCTGATACTTCAATGGGTTTCAAACAGAATAGACATCTTTATTACCATTAATGAAAAGTGCTGTTAAAAACATCCCTTGTGGGCTGGGGTCATGGCTAAGTGGTAGAGGCTTGCCTTGCATGTGCGAGGCACTGGGTTTGATTCTCAGCACCACATACAAATAAATAAGATAAAGGTCTATCAACAACTAAAAAAAAAAATAATAAAAAAAAAAATCCCTTGATTATTTTGACATTCAGTACCACACAAAACAGTCGTGTGAACTGTGTAGACAGTGGTTTACTGTGTAGATGTGATTCAGCAGTGACTCAGAGACTCTTTCTCAGGGGGTTACCTTCCTTTTTGGCTCTTAGGAATCCATCTTAGAACTGGAGAGGGTCTCCAGCCTCTGCCTTCTGTCAGGTTGCTGTGTACATACAGTTAACTGCACATGCTCCCAGAGAGTAACATTGACCAGTGATGACCCTTGGAGCCCATCTGGATATGCTGTCAGCTCAGCTTCTAGATGATCTTACTTCCTCTAGGGGCAGAGTCTGAGTAGGTCCACAACTTGTTTTTCATATGGAAAAGACAGAATAAAAAAAAAAAAAATCCATTTTAGAACTACTATACATTAAATGGAATACCATTCTTTCTTAGGTTTATTCTATCAGAAAAATTTATGGTAATTTCAGTTATTGATAACTTAATGCTAATTGTGACTGAAATAGTCTGTTAGGCAAAGCTCAGTAATTTAAAAAATATGTTTCATAAATTGTGAGGCTTTGTTTCTGTCATATTATTTTTCACTTTCTAACTTATAGTATTTTATTATTAGGAAGAAGAAACTCGAAGCTAAGGTGAAGAAGCTGGAAGGTAAATGGCACTATTGTTACCTGGCTAGTGGAAACCCTTGCTGGCTATTTCAGATCCCTGGTAATAGGGTGAAGCACTCGATCAAATGGTTGAGTTGTTGTAGACTTGGATGGTACATCTCTGGGTCATCCCTAGATGAGAGCAAGGGTCTGTTCCTCCCAGTAACCATATCAGAAGTTGGAGATGGAATGTGGCAGTCCCTGAAAGGGTATTATACTCAAAATAATAGCACCCTGCACTTTTTGTTGTAAAAAGTAGCAACTAATGAAATGATTTAATTTTGAAAGTTGAATCCTATGGACTTTCTTATTTTCCCCCCATGATATAAGAACAGATACTGGGGCTGGGGATGTGGCTCAAGCGGTAGCGCGCTCGCCTGGCATGCGTGCGGCCTGGTTTTGATCCTCAGCACCACATACAAACAAACATGTTGTGTCCACCGAAAACTAAAAAATAAATATTAAAAATTCTCTCTCTCTAAAAAAGTTAAAAAAAAAAAAAAGAACAGATACTGCTTTTAATATCAAGAAACTCATGCATTTATGATACATGTAGGGAGATTTCCATGAAATCCTCTTCATTACGATTGTCCAGTTTAAATCTGGTAAATTTAAATCATTTTAAATCTCCACACACTCCACAGTTGTTAGGTGCTTCTACTTCACAAAGAAAGTGCAGAGTGCAGTTTCTTAGGTCTTGATGTTTCAGCTGATAACCCTTCAGAAGTCAGTGGGAGTGAAACTCAAGATCTTTTTGTTGGCTTTTCCTCCCTGCATTGTGCAGTGGGACATGGACCTAATGCACAGTAGAGACAGACAGCTTCTGCTGTTTCCATCCGTGCTTGTGGTCTTCCTTCAGTTTCAGTGTGGCTCTAGTAACCGTCTTATCTGCTGTGGGTTTCTGACATTATTGATTGTGCCCTGCTTCAATGATGGTGCATTTTCACTTCGAGTGTGAGTAATAGTTTAAATTTAGTAGTCCCAGTCATTAATTTATCTAGATTAAGCCAAATGTTTTAGACTTATTCTATAAATGTCTTGGTGACATGTTCCTTAGATTTGATTATTGCATAAACATTGACAGTTGGCAGGAAGGACACTGCTGTGTTCTGAGTCTTGTCTTTTTCTTGGTGGTGTGTGGAGATAAGTGTCTAAGGAAATATTTTGAGAAACATGAGATGCCTTTGAGACTCCATATATAGCTATGAAGCAAAATGCAGCGTTTTTCATGTAGAAAAACACTTTCCCCTAGTAAATGATAAGACATAATAAAGATTACTGAGGAAAGAAATACTCGAGCTTGTTAGCATATTGTTACTTTGTTGTTTTAGGGGATTTTGCTTTTTTTAGCAATTGTGTGTGAGTATATCGGTGTAAAATCAGTACTGGTCAGATTGTTAATAGTGTGGAGTATTTGTTATTTCAGAATGAAGGATTTGGTAAAAATGCAGAGAACTATAAATATTCCTAAAGAGTAGATCTCCAACAAAGATATTTGGCATTAGGATTAGTTAACTTGTTAAAGGGAATTCCAGGAAGTGATATTAGCTAAATTATATAATTGTATTGTGTGCATATGTGAATATCTAATAATAAGTTTCCCAATTATGTATGAGTATCTTGCAGCAATAAAATAATGTGTGTGGGGGAGGGAATTCCAGAAAAGAATAACTATCTCCAGTAAATATCATGAAAGCTGCCCCCTTTTCTTCTTCACCAGATAAAGAGAATGGTATTAATTAATTCTAAGATCACAGTTCTAAAATCTCAAAACATCACTGCTAATTATTGAAATGAAAAGAGTACAAGGTACCATGGCATCTCCCCTTATGCATTAGATTGAGGCCCTGCCCAGAAGGGTTTGGAAAGGATTCTTAAGCCCTGCATCAATTTTATAATCTTATAAATAGTTAAAGAAAGAAAAGTTCCTCTATTAGCCCTGACCGATAAAGTATTTGAATACTTTAAGAAATGAGAAAATCTCATACTAGATCAGATCTTGAGTAATCCATTAACGCTAGCAGTAAAGGTAGTAAATTATTTTTTTGTTTCTTTATTATAATTTTAAAATACAGAAGCTGCTGTCAAGCAAACTCAAGACTTCAAACAACTAAGAAATGAAAAGAAAATACTTGAAAAAGAGTTTAAGAAGACACAGGTACTATATAAAACAGTGTGTTCAAACTTGAAAATTCCTGGTTTCGGGGCCTGAGTGGGTGACTGTTGTAACAGATCTGACAGTCAGGCAGAGGCCACCTAGGGACTATAGGCACGTTGCCTGTTAAGTTATACCTGTTGTACATTTGATCCACCATATTTGCACTACTCATCCAGCATAAACACTGTTAGTGTTTTATTTTCACAGGAAAGACTTGACGAATTTTCCAAACAGAAAAATGAGAAAGGTGAGTATTCAGTTAATACTTACTTAAAATTTCTATATTGATATGCAATATTTTAAAATTATTTTTCCCCACATCTTTTTAGAATTGAGACATATTGGAACACAAATTTCAAGTGATTCATATGGAAGCATAGATAAAAGTGAGTAGACTGTGATTTTTGCTTCAATTTTGTGTGCTAGTATTAGTGATTTGGAAGATTCCATGTAGCTCTAACATACAGCTGTAAAAATATCCAGGATTAGTATATATTTCATGTTAGAAGAAGCCATGTATTTGGGGTTGGCGTTAGTCAATATATATTTCTAACCAATTTTTTATCTTCTAAAAAAATATAGTGATTAAGGGATACAATGAAGAATGTTGTTTGGGAAAGGAAAACTATTTAATATGTATAGTTTCCACAGTTTTCAATAATTAAGTATTCATTAGATTACAATTTATAGGTATGAATAATAATTAGGTTCTCACTAGTTTGCAACTTATCAGATTAATTTTTTAAATATCCTAGGTGCCAAACATAAAAACATTGTTAAAGTCAGGCAGGAAAACCATAGTGTCAAAGCCCTATTGTATATTTACTGAAAACACAAAAGAGTTTAAGGAAGAAAAGTAAAATAGTGGTAGCCATGGAATTGTTGTAAGGGAAATCCAGATATGTCACTACACATTTGTACTGAGTGCCTCATTTCTAGATGAGAAGGCATAATGACAATTGAGAGTGAGAAATTGGGAGTTTTCATCTTAATACTTCTGTTTACTACTTGGCTCTTTGCCATTTACTTCCCTTTTTTCTCCTTTTAAAAAGTGGAGGTTATGAATTTGAATTTCTACTTTTATAAGTTTTTTGTGGAGTTGAAATTAATGTTTATTAATTAAATGTAGTCATTTTCATCATGCTAATGTAGATTTTTTAATTAAAAACCTCTAAGTGGAAATAATTGAAGACCTTTAATTTTTTATGTATAAGTAAGCAATGTCTCTTAAGAATTCACTTTTATCCCTTTTTCCCTTTTCTTTAATTTTCTTTTACCTTAGAGAACAAGTTCACGTTTTCCTTGGTTTAAGGCCATTAGCTGTTCATACTTTCCAGTTGCCTGGGCACTGGTATCACATATATGCAATCTCTTGTGCTTTTGCTCTGTGTGTGGAGTGTGAGATGGAGTGATGGGTATTGCTGAGAGCAATCAAAGATCCAGAGCATTGCATTGTGCTTTCCCAGCCAACAATCAGCTGTTGAATTTAATCATATTTCCTTCTGGACTCACAGATCTGTGTTAGGCCTTTCTATTCAAACATGGTCCTTCTACCCACTCCTTTCAGTTTTCTATCCTACATTTCATCTTATTTTTTTCAAAGAGCTTATTGCTCTCTCAAAGTTATTTTATGTTTTGTTTTGATCCTCTCTAATAATGAGGGCAGGGATATTGTCTATTGTACATTGTATTCCAGGTAAATAAATTAATGAAGTCAGTTGTGAACTTTGATGTATTTATTTCTTACTTCTTAACTGAATCCTTAGCACTTTTCTCTATTAATATTGAATATTTGACTGCTGGAAGAAATTAGCAAATTAAATACTAAGAAATATTGAGTTGGCATCACTTTAAAAAAGGCTTCCTGAGTGGCACTTTGCCTTGACTTCTTTTCAAATTCCAACAAAAATGACCTAAATGAAAAGTAGTTTGCCTGGATAGTTAAAAAGTTTACCATCAATAGGGTAAATTAATGAGGAAGATGGAAAGCAGATGGTTACAGTTGCAGGCTGCAAAAAGCAAGTTTCACTGCAGAAGCCTGGAGTTTCCCTTGATTGCTGGGGTAGAAATAGAGGTAGGAGCAGGTCCTTAGCATTTGCAAGCCATTGATAAAAGGGTAAAGGTATGACAGCCTTCTCATTTCAAACCTGTTTCTGGTCTTTGCCCACAGACTGAGCCCCAGGTACAGATTGCTGAAATGGTAGCTGCGCCATAAGACATGCCTGAGGTCTGTGGATATTAGAACATTGAGTAGTTGTGGCTGCTTTGAGCATTAGTCACTCTTGTTCCTAGTAAATAAGATGGTAATGCACTCCGTGTAATCCGCACAATTGCATTCACTCACCTCTGTCCCCAAAGGCAGGGTCATGAAACAAGAACCTGCACTTACTGCTAGAAGATCAGGACTACAAATGTACATAAAGGAATACATTTCTAAAGGTGTTCTGCCTACAACCTTTTCTAAAACCTTGACAAAAAGAAAGGGAGGGACAAGGAAGAAAGGTGCCAGAAGACTGAGGAAATAATACTAAATCATGAGTGAGAAGAAAAGGTTAAAAACTAAATTAGAATTCTTAGAGAAAATCTAAGAACATATCCACAGGCTCCCTCTGTGGATCTTGGAAATTAAAAATATGATTACAGAAATAAATCTGCTAAATAGGCTAATGTTGAATGGATAGATGATTGAATTAGTGAACCCAGAGATTAGATCCAAGATGTCTCTAAGGATGTAGTACAGAGGGTGTTAGAAAAATATAAGAAATTGAAGGATAAAGCCAGATGTCTTAGTATTCATCTCCTAGAAATTTTCAGAGGGAATCACAGAACCATAAGGAGGGGAAGAGATCAAGAAGTAACAGAAGAGAAAGTCACTGAACAGAAAATATTTTTATGTTCATTCTGTTGGGGCCTCCCAAGTGTAGAAAATGATTTTTTAATATAAATTCCACCTCTGACATGTTTGTAGGATATGTACCTAAAATAAATGAAACAAAAAGTTTGAATACAGAGTGGCAGGAAAATGTCTTCCAAGCAGTGCTCTCAGGAAAGCAGTAACATAAGAAAATATTTCAAGCTTAGAAACACATTTACATAGATTAAAAGGGAATGTTTAAGTTGATTAACACAACTCATTAAGTGGACACTGTCATGTATCTAAGAGCATGAAACTATCAGTAAAAGAGCTTTTGGGAATTCTAGGAGGAATAGCCACATCGTTTGTCATCATGATCAGTTTTAGTATGTTTCTCAGAAACAGGTGAGAGCAGACAGGAGATGGAATTATGACTATAATTAAATATGACTCTGCAGACTGCACAGTTCTTTAGTATACTTCTCAGACATTTTAAATTGGCTAATACACAGCAAAATAACTCCACAATTTAATGAGATATTAACAAGACCCCATTCCTATAAGTTAATGAAAAAAAAGTGCAGCAATTGATTTGGAACTATTGAAACTGACTGGATCATTACTGTACTGGAGAAACGAGAACCTATATCAAGTGTGAGCAAGAGGAAAACCCATTGCACCAGGACTTGGAAAGCTGCGAAAGTACAGTTTAGTTCTTCATTCATAATTTCATATCCAAATGTAAAAAACAGATTTTCTTTTTCTAGGAAAATGTGCTCTCAAATTGATTCAGACTTGAACAGAAAATAATACAGAAGAAATTTTTAAAAATAATTGAAGTGTTAGACCATTGTAGTTCCAGATGGTTTGTTGGTTGAGCTCTCCAAAGTCTTGAGTGAAAACAAGTGTCTTTATCATTAATTTATTGTTTTAGAACTTAGAAAATATGGAATGTGCCTATCCCATTAACATGAACAAATATCCTCAAGACTCAAAACTGTGTTACTTGATAACATAACTGCAAAAATACTAAATAAAAATTTCAGGCATCAAAGCCGTGAGTTACTTAGAATAAAAATTATGATCTAAGGAGTTATTTCAGGAATATGATAACTGATTCAAAGTATTATGTTCATCTCAATTCAGTATTCGCTTCTAATTAAGAGAAAAATCGGTCTATAATAGGAAAAAAGTTTGAATTTGATAAAGGAGAAGCATTGAAAGCATAGTCCTTACTGTCAGAAACAAGGCAAGGATCCTTTTTGCTCCTCCCTTCTTTTTGTACTGGAGGCCCTAATCAGCATGGCAAAATAAACAGTAAGCCCTGCACCATGGTGCATGCCTATTAATCCCAGCAGTGCTGGAGGCTGAGGCAGGATTACTAGTTTCAAGCTACCCTCAGCAATGGTGAGGCGCTAGGCAACTCTGTGAGACCCTGTCTCTAAATAAAATACAAAATTGGGCTGGGATGTGACTCAGTGGTTGACTGCCTCTGAGTTCAATTTCTGGTAACTGCCCCCCCCCCCCAAATAAAAAATAAACAGAGTAAATTCTTCAGATACTCCTAAGCAAGAGTCAAATTGCCATTATTTCAGATGATATGAGCATGTAGAATACCCAGAGCACTCAGCTGGAAAAGTAGTAATAGAAGCTTGATCAAGTTGTGACTTGTACAAGGGACATTCACAGTGCACCAAGTGGAATCAAAACAACCCTTTCTTAAACGGTGACTGGACCACCACATGCCTAGGAGAGGACTTACAGCATTGTGTGGTGCCACTGGGACGAAAACTGTACAGACTTTCTGAAGAGGCGTGAAGGAAGAATGAACACATGAATCAGCATTATGTTTCTGGATGAGAAAACTCAAGGCATAGTGATGTGATACTTTCTTCAATGTATTTATACTAATCTCACTAGAAATCCCATTACAGCATTCTGTGGAAAAGAACAGATGGTGAAGGTTTGTCTGGAGGAATAGATGTTCAGAATAACATTTTTTAAAAGAAAAGACCTGAGCAAGAATTATACTGTAACAGTGTAATTATGAATTTATCATGATTAAAGAAGTGTGGTATTGACACAGAAACTGACAAAGCAGTGGAGTGGGAAAGTCCAGAAACACTCTTATAAATGCCTTAGATTTTGATAGTAGAAGCATCTTAAGACAAGTGTACATTCGATTTAATGAGATTTTTATCTGCACAACTAAGTAATGAAGCCTCACTGAAGACTGTTTTGTTGGGAATAGATAGCTTTTTATGGTCAGATTAGAAGTAATGTGTGCTCATTAGAATAGGCATAGCTCTGTTTATTAGCCTCCACAGGAATGGAAAAGTAACTTTTTTTCTTTTTTTTTAAGGTTCCTTGTTTGCTGCTTTGGGTATACGTAATAAGCAGGGATCCTGGTCAGGTCATTTAAGCAAAGGGGATTACAATATTTGGAAGCAGGCTTTTGGGTAGGTTAAATTACAATGTAGATAAGCTATTCATTCACAGGGTTTTAGAACTCAAGTGAATGTACCTCACACAGGGGTCACCAGAAAGTTGATTTGGCTTCCGAGAGGTTGGAAATGGTCAGCTGTTCTGACGTTGTTGTCGCCATGACTTCCATGTTTGTCCTGGTTGCCTTTCTGGAGGCTTAATTTTTGGAATGACACAGTTTGATTTCAAATAAAACTAACCTCATTTAAAAATCTTTGGTTGATTTTCTGGAGATATTTTGGTTTAAAAGGTTAGTCTCTTATGTCCTCTTGAACTGGATTGAAGATGTTACTAATTTCAATAGATATTTAAGGTTAATTTAGAAACTTAAATTTAAGGAAATTATAATTGAATTCTGAGATGGCCTGAAATTACCTCATAGTTAAAGCTAGTTTTCATTGAATTTTTACTAATGTGGGTTGTTTTTTATGCACATTTCACCATAAGATTCATATTTATATTTTTGTAAATACGTTTTGGTTGGGAAGATATTTTTGGAATTTGTATACATAATGATTTTAAAAAGCTTCAAAACCCTAGTGTAATATTCTTATGAATTTCATCAATACTGTCTTGGTTATTTCCTTAGCCTTTCAACTTGAATCAGCATTTCTTAATCATACTCCGAGTCTAGATCCTAAGAAAATGTATAAATACTTCAATCTTTATGAAGCCATGTGCTTCTCCCTGTTGATACATTCATATCCACACATCTTGCCTCCAGCTCACTTCCCCTCAAGTCCATCCTTGGATTTTCTAGACCCATGCATCACCCAGGTGAATTTCAGCATGGTCAGCTGATGACCTTGCCGATAGCCTCATCTAACTGAGGGATGCTTCTCTGTTATTCTTGTGGAACATATAGAGCCCTGGTCCCCTATGCTGTACCCATTAACTAGGCGTCCCTTCCCCATTTAATCACACTCAGGAGACCATGTGTGGGCCCAGGACTACTCATCTGTCCAGGGTGTATATAAAGGTGATGAAGCCTTTGACCAAGTAGATTGGGGCTTTTGAGTGTCCCCCTAACCCTGCACCAAAAATAAACAAAGAAATCCGTGCTAGTTAATTTCTATCTAAAGCACTGTAGAACTTTCCAACCATAATTAACTTAGTTGTGCACAGTGGTTGAGTTTGAGGAAGATATTTGGATACCTAGTTTTCTAAGTCGCTAATCCTGATTTCACATGGGCATGTTTAAGCTAAATAAGATAGTTTTAACCCTTTATTCTTTTTCACAGGAAAAGTGAAACTGCTCCTGAAGGAACTCTGGCTCTGTATAAACACAGCACACCGACTACCCAGTGAAGGCAGCAGACGTGTCCCAGGTGAGAGAGAAGCTATGGAAGCAGCTTCATATGTGAAAGTAGAAAGATTACCATGGACATTGTGACCTGTAATTTTTAATTTCTCCTGGATCTAACGTTAGAGGAATGAAAACAACTATAGTGGCCAGTTCTTATTGTACAAAACTTCTTTCCCTTCAGTGTGCCTTCTAATCTTAAGTCAGTTCATTTAGCTTTTAATTTTTTAATAACAGGTCTCATCAGAGAACATCAAAGAAACTGGAAGGATAAAAAACAATGGCATATTTGGCCGGTACATGTGGAAGACTGAAGGATGCACAGCTTTTTAAAAATTATTTCATATGTTCAGTTAGTTCACCAGCAGTTTAACTTATGTTTTGTATACTTCAGCAGTTCTGCTAACTGAATTCCTTGATTTTCAGTAAGACGACGGGGAGACATTCTGTCATATTTGCACGTGTCTTCTCGGAATTTCAGATCTTGAATTTGATGTTAGACACGCTTAGTGGAAGGGAGAAAGATAGGAGACTTGTAACATTCTAGTGCTTCTTATTTCTTGTCATTTTACAAAAAATTTCTTACATACATGACAATAGTGGAATGCATTACAATCATAATTATCCATTCTCAACACCATTTTTCGTAACTGTATATAAAGTATGTTCACTCCAAATTATGCCATTATACATGAGCTCTATTATTATTATTATTTTTTGCATTACAGTTCTTAATAAGCTGCTATAAATTGATAGATCATTAAAGATTTAAATCAGTAGAAGCACGTGCACTTGATTTTCCTACAGGCTTCTGAAGGCAGGGTTCCCTCAGAAGATCAGTAATGGGCAAATGTTGGTTCTTGGTTGTGCTGGATTCATAACTTGTCAGGTGTTGACACAGATATATTCGGTGGGTTTTTCTAAATAGGTTTTTCCCTCAGTTCACTTTCTAGATAGTAACATTGATAATAATCAAATGGTACCTGCAATTTCTAAATTAGTTTCTACAGTTAAAAATTTATCTGTTCAAGCAGAAGCAGCCTGTGGATTTTTTTCAGCCTTCTATACCAGTGAGTAGTGTATGTGAACATTTAATCTGATGCTTTCATTTAAAATCACAATTTTAGGGCTAAGTTCTATTGCTTATCTGAACTTTTCCAAGGGAGAATAGAAAGCATGGCATCTTTGGAACCTTAATATACCATAGACTATCTTTTTTTTTTTTTTTTTAATTTTTTCTTTTCACATGGAACAGTTACAAAAATAATGTGAAGAATTCCGTTAGACTCCTTACTCATTTTCCCAATTTTAACATTTTTCATTGCCAGTCATCAAAACTGGAACATGTGATGCAAACAATCCTGTTAACTGTAGACCTCGTGTAAATTTCATAAGTTTCCCCACTATTTCTCCTTTCCCTCTAGGATCCAGCCCAGACCCCCATATTGCCTTTAGCAGTCATCTTCCTTTAATGTTCTATATCTTGACCATTCCTCTACTTTTCCTTTGACACTTTTGGAGAGCATGTTTTCTTAGAAAGCCTATCCCTTCTGTGTGTCTGGTATTCTCTCATGGTGGACTGATGGTATGTGTATTTGTGGTGTGGACACCACAGTAGTGATGTTTCCCTCTGCTCAGGGAAACATCATGGAGATAGGTGATGTGGACATGGATTATTAAACTATCATCCACATAATTTATCCTAAGTAATGGATCTTGCCTGCTATAATTACTACTTCGGTGTTTACTAGATGATTGTTTACTTCTCTCATTTCTTCTGCATTTATTATTTAGAATTCTTTCTTAAAAAGAACTGTTTCTTCTCCATTTATTTGCTTTATAACCTATATTTCCATATAGTCGTAGGTAATTGTTCTATTCTATGCATTATAATTCATATTGTCAATTATTGCTTAAATTGGTCCAGCCTTGGTCATTTGGAATTTGTCCAGAGTGACTCCTGTGTGCTTCAGACATACTCCATCATATTTAAAGCACTTGCTTTCTGGCACTGTAAGGTGTTTCAGTCTCAGCTTTATTTTCTCTTCCCAGTCCTATAATCAGCCTCTTCTCCAAAGAGCTCTGAATCCTCTGTAAAACACTTGTACAGTTTATGGATATAACAGTGATTTGTAATGATTTCCTGGGACCCATATGTCTTTTCTAATAATTAGTACAACTGAAGTTCATCAGAATCCGTATACCAAAAAGGGTTGGCGTTTTACAGAAACTTTTCAGATGCATTATCACAAAGCATTCATGTGCACTAGTGAGGTCTCATTTGCGACATGAGTGGGCTTGATGTGGGTTGACTTTAGATCACTTTTCAAAAAGAGAAAATAGTGTCTGTCCCAACCTGTATGCACAGAATTATTTCTCTTCCAGATTCCACTGGTATGATTGCCAAGCTTCATAAAAGCCTTCGTAGGTTAGTGTGGCCATTACCCTGCTGTAGCCCTGCGGTGGCTGGTTGGGTTTGTCTCATCTGTCCATCCATTCATCTTCCTCTCTCACTTTTTATAGGATAATGTTTATAAATTGATTCCCTACTAAAAAGTATTTCTACTTACTTGAAGTAACCATTGCAAGCACTTTTGAACTATTAGGATAAGGTTTTGTTTTATTTTAAATTTCCTTGACATTTTAAATCCTCACCCCACAGAAAAACCTGCCAAAGAAGATACATCTGGAACTTCTGGGGAAGATGGCACACTACCTCCAGCACAAGGCGGACCTCTCAGGGCCTCAGATGTGCAGACATGTCTCACAAAACTGTCTATGGAAATGGAGGGTGACTTTGCTTCATGTAGAAGTGTGAATAAAGAGAGGCCTGGCAGAGCAAACCACAGTATTGACCATGTTTCTGATGAGGATGGGAATACTAAGGTCTCAGTGCCGACTGGTGATGATGGTGACAGGACTCACTTATCTGACCACAGGCAGTTTTTCGATGAAGACCTTCAAGCTGCAATTGACTTCTTCAAACTCCCTCCTCCTCTTCTGTCTCCAGTGCCCTCACCCCCTCTGATGTCACCACACCCAATAAGCTCCTTACCTTCTTCACTTGCACCTGTAAGTTTGCTCTTTAAATTTGAATTCCTTCTGGGTGTGTTCTCTCTCCTAATGTGGCTGTGATACTCAAAATTTGATTTAGGCAAGACTTCATATTTTAGCATACTTTATTAAAAAGTAACAAGGAGAAGTTAAGGCAAGCCAATGCCCTTTGGATTAGCATAGATCAGCATGACTCTTTTTAAGTGTGTATTAGGGTTACATTTGTAATTTATCTTTAATCACAACTAAATTATAAGTTTTTTGTTGAATGATTGTGTCTTATGTGTGTATTTTCATTGCTCGTGCATGGCACATAGATTTGGAATGAATAAAGCATGACCTTGACAGCATGGAGTTCACAGTGGTTGGAAAACCCAGTGTAGCATCCATGCCCACAGGCTTGTGCAGTTTCCCACTTTCAGTGGAGTTCATCATCTTTTTGTGTGTTTATAGAATGCTTTGTGATGGCTTCTTAGTAAATTTCCTAGGAAGTCAAGTCTTGATGAAGCACATTTTCATACCTTCTAGCTTAAGGAGCAGATAAATGGGTGGCTTCCTGAAGGAAAATTCTGGCATGTCTGTTATATTCCAGACACTAGGCCAGGCCTTGGCAGCACAGAGCATCAAGATTCAGTACCTGTCTGTCAGGTGGAGGTGGGACCAGTAAAGGAGCAGGCACCTGCCCCGCTGGGCTGAGCTCTACAGTTCTTTGAACACACCCTGCCTGAGAGGACAGAGCTCTTACCGGCTGTTGGGGAGGGGGCACAAGTGCTTCTGGAAATAGGAGCCCACACCAAACTTTTTAAAGAGTGAGTTAGACACTTAGGACCTGTGGGCATTTGAGTGTAGTGGACCCACCTGGCCCTTGATGGCATGGAGAAGAGAGTGTGGAAGGGAAGAGGTGGAGACCCAGTTAGAATCCTAAGGAATATTCCATAGGCAAGCAGAAAGAGGAGGAGAAGCAAGGAAAGGAGAATGAAAATCTTGGCTGGCCCTGGTGGAAAGCCAGGAGACTAGATGATCTGAATTCAAATCAGGAAAAGATGCTTCCAGAAGAGCAAGTTTGTTTCAGCCATGGTGTCTTCAGTCCCTCTTTCCCTTATCAGTAGAAGTCAGGTGTTTGATATCCTAGGGTTGAGGTGGTTAACACAGGTGGGAGACATCTAGATGGACAGGATGGGGAAGGGAGAACAGCTTGCGAGGAGCCCTGGGAGGAGCTGTGTGGCAGGAGCAGTAGTGAGGCTTGGCGTGTAGGGAGAGTCACTGGGAGTGTTTGATGCCTGATAGGGAGATGAGATGGAGGACTGTGGAGCCAGAGGCCCTCCATCTCAGTGTCCAGGCACCCTTTTTGTCTGAAGATGAGCATTAAGAGTTTGAAAATAGGAATGTTAAAAGAACACACAGAACCCTGGGCCCTGTGTGAAGTGGGGCTTGGGAGGGTGTTTGCTATGGGAGAGCCATGAAAATAGGGTGGGAGTTTCTGGGAAGGGGCAGGCTTCTTTAAGTAGATGGTGGATAGTGTCATGCCAGCAGCTGTCAACCCACTCTCAGAGATCCAGAGCCTAGACAGCACTTCCCAAGCTGATTTTTAAGAATTCTTTGGTTGGGGGTGGGGAATTCTTTGGGAAGCATGTGCTTTTTTTTTTTTTTTTTTTAAGTACATTTAATTGATATTGATAGTCATGTTTAGTCTGTTGAATGAGAGTTTAACTAGTATAATTCATGTTGTTTTAAGGAAACGTACTTTGGAGAGTATACAGATTCCAGTGATAATGACTCAGCCCAGCTACAAAATTCTGCTGACTCTCTTTCAGAAGATGATACAACTGAATCACAGGATTATTTTGGCTTATCTAGAAAAAGTAAAGAGAATAGTATCTGGGAGGAGAAGTCCAAATCACATGAAGCTATCCAGGCTCTAAATCAATTGGCAGTAAATAAAGTGACAACTATTGGATTTGAGACTTTAACAACAACACTGAGAGAACCTTCAACAACTACATCTTCTTTAGCTCGGGAAAAGCACTGGACAGTTTCATCTGAATTCATGAGTGATAGAAAAAGAGACATTTTAGATGAGGCCAAAAGACAGGTAGAGATTAGGGAGATGGTTCAGTGTGTGCAGACAGAGAAGACATCTCATAAGCCCACTAGGGGTCTCTGGGTTGAGAAGCTGTCGGGCAGCTTAGCCCAAGAGAAGGAGGTGACCACTGGGAAGTCAGGGTTGTGTTATTCTCCCATTGGCAAGAGGCCATTAAGTGAAATCACTGGATCTGAAGGAAAAACCCTTTCATCCAAAGTGATAGGCTCACCCAAATCACAATTCACTAAGTGGACCCTTCCTGATGAAGTTACTTCTGAATCAGACTGTGTAGCAAGTTCTGGCCATTTTCAGAGAATATCTAGAGAATTGGCAAAGGAAAGAGAAGATGTGCAAGGGTCCACTGTGGGAGAGTCACCTAAACCTAAGGAGGATGATCCAGGAGATATGATGAGTCTGGCAGGGCTTGATGCTAAAGCCAGTTTTCGTTCCTCTTCTACCTCGGTACCAGTGTCTGTTCGCAGTCATCCCCAGTCTTCACGATTAAAGTACGTTAATGAAGCAGATATTCCAACTCAAGTAATCCCTACTGAACTTCATCATTCAGAACAAAAGTTACCAACTAAAACTTTAAACACCTTACTTCTGCAGTCTGAGCCACCAGAGTGTTCTGTAAGAGAAAGCAACCTGAAGAAGAATAGCTTGGGTGCTTTGAGCCCTGAATTGGGAGAATCTAATTTTGATGAACAGAAGAGCAGGGAGAGAGAACATACAAATATCATGAAAAGCATGCCCGAAGTCTACTCACTTTCTCAGTCAGTGTTTAGGAAGGTCACAAAAGCTGGGCAGTGTGAAAGTCAAGATCCAAGAACTGAGCTCACACTCCGTAAATCAGATTTGATTTCACTAGTATCTCCTCGGGTTGGCTCAGTCAGGAGTGGTTCTAGTCTTGTTAAAAGCACTTCCTGGCACCATAGTGATTTATTAAGGAGAGGTGGTGAAGAGAGTCTGAGAGCTTCCTCAGAACATGAACAAAAGACTAATCAGCAGTTAGAAAAGCCAGTGTCAGCATTACAGAATAGAGGCTCATCAGCCATACTTGAATCTCCCAGAGAAGATCACTGTCCAGTAGAATTCAAGGCCACTGCTTCATTACTGTCTAATCAAGTGTCAGTTATCACAAAGCAGATAAGACCTGAAAAGATTGAAAGTGCTCACTTGGAACATGTGAGACTTCCTGGGAATGAGCCCACCTCAGCAGCAGAAAACTGTGGTAACGAAGCTGATGATGGTTCTTCTGCAGGGAAATGTGGAAAAGGGGACAAGGTGACATCAGACCTCCAGGGAGTGGCTGCTGTGAAAAGCACTTCACCAGAAATTTCTGCCTCTTGTAGAAAACTAGATTTCAGTTCTCCAAGTGGATCTTTACCGGCAGGAAATTTTGATTGTTCCCCAAATAGTAAGTTGTCTTTCTCATCTGAAAACATCCTCATCCAAAGCCAAGACCCTGTGAGGGAAGACTCAGTGCAGGGAGAGGTAAGGGAGTCCAGGCCATCTCCTCACACCACAAATTCAGACCCATGTGGGGTGGAGGGCAGTGAGCTGCCTCCAGCTGAAGCAAGGGTATCAGGAAGTTGTCCCGTTGAAGTGCCCGGTGAAGTCATAGCAAGACCTGTCACTGAGGCCCCGACTGCTGCAAGCCCTTCTTGCACACCACAGAATGTTCCTGAGCTTTCAAAGTTGGCATCTGGAATGCCTAGTGGCACCGTTCCCGAATGCATCGTCACCACAGATGCTGCTTTTTCTTCAGTGTCTTGCAGAAAAGATGAGGAGACACCAGTTATCTCCCCAAGCAGTCTTCCTGGAACCTCATACTGCTACACAGGCATCCGGGAGGGAGGAGAGGAGACCGAGGTGGAGGGGAGTGAGGCCTTCAGCTGCAGTGAGGGTGAGCATGAGACTGAGTCCATCCTGGGGAGTGGACAACAGAGTGCCACCAGTGACACAGGGGAAGATTTGGGAGGTCCAGGGGCTAGAGCAACTGAGGCGAGACCTTCCCTAGAGGTGGCTTATCTGACTTCAGCTCTGCAAGATTTTAACATAAGTACTTTCACGGACATAGACAGACTTTCTACATCAGAAGTTGTAATGTTTCTTGAAAGTTGTCAGCTAAAGGATTTTAGTTCAGGGAATTCTGTTTCAGAATGTTCTAGTAAAGGAACCCCAAACAAAGAAATGAACAAAGAGTTAAAGCAAAGTGGAATCTCCGAAGAAAAATGTAGGGAGCTATCCTGTGAAGAAGAAACACTTGATACCTCCGAAGAGTGGATTGAATCTGAAGAAGATAACTGTTCTTTAAAAGATCCAAGTCAACTCGCTCAGTGTTCTTTGGAAACGCTATCTGAGGTTCTCACCAAGATTGGGCAAGAACTGCAGACAAACTCTGAGGACTGTAATGGTAAAGATACTGGTAATTTAATTCTTGTAAATATCCCTGATAGCCTGACAACTGAAGAATTGAAAGAAAAAGCCCCATCTCAGGCAGCAGTTGGTTCCACATCCCACACCCCTGAACTGCTCCCACTTACCACCATCGGGCACAGTAGAAGTGACTCTCCCGTGAGTGATGGATCTCATCCTGGGGACACACCTGAGGATGCAGCCAAGCCCCCTGACATTGGTGAGCAGGGCCTGCCGGAACAGGGGGGGCCGTTGACCCTGTGTCCTGACTCCACAATGCAGCCAAGCACAGAGCACAGTTCTGGTGGGGAGGCAGAGGCAACGTTTCAGTGTCAGATATCCACAGTGACCTCAGAAGTTATCAATGTACTTATAAATAAGGATCAGAATCTTGTCATTGAAAAGGGGGACAACTGGACAATCATCAGCGGTGTGTCTGTCTCACCAGATGTGGACCAGGTTATACTGTGTGATGCTCCTGGGGACGTAGCTGTTTCTCAGGATCAGAGAGGGCTAGAAGCTGGGTTTGTTTCAGGGACTTCTATGGAGAAGTCCCCAGAGACCAGTCACATGGGCCCTCCCTTTCAGGAGCCTCCTTGTGGCAGTAATCTTTCAGGTGCTCAAGAGGATGTTTCAAACAGTGGTCAGAGTACCAACTTTGATAAAAGTCGCTTGCGGAACAGACCTGTTAAGCCCAGCATATGGATTAGTTCTCAAATATACGATCAAACATTTGAGACTCAAAATGTTGCGTCTGATCACACATATTATAACTCAAAACTAGAGCCATCTGGTAAAAATAAGAATCGATCAAAGATGTCAAACAAAGATCAGTCAAACAAACCAGTAAAGACTTTGGCATCAGGCAAAGGTGAAACTCATCAGAGTGAGGTTCCTCAGTTGCCTTTGGGGGAAAGAGGTAACACCAAAACTCAAAGAAGTCAAACTCAGCCCATTCTGGCAAATGCAGATACCTCTACTCCCACAGATTGTTCTCCTGACACTTTGAGCAAGATACGGCAAGAAGTGGGTCCTCCTCTGCCTCCTCTGCTCGCTCCTTTGATAGCAACACCTCCAAGGACTTCACAGCCACTTTCTCCTCTGATATCAAGTTCTAGTCCTTCCCCGCCAGCCTCTCCTGCTGGCCAGATTTCTCCCTCATGTGAAACTCCAGTGCCTCCTATGATGTCTCCATGGCCAGAAGACCCCCAGCGGGCTTCTCCAGGGCCCTCTCCATCTCCATCTGCTGCAACAACCAGTGGCAGGATAGTGTCCTCTCCTTTGCAGTTCTGTGCAGCCACACCAAAGCATGCACTTCCTGTGCCCGGTAGACTCCCACCTGGCGCTCCTGGTCACACTGCTGGGGGAGGGGCTCAAGAGAATTCTGTCAAAATCCTTGATACCATGTACCCAGAGTTATCTGCCAGGGCCCGGACCCTCAACATCCTCAAGGGGAACATCCAGCTTTCCCGAGGTTCCTCTGCAGACTGTAAGGCCGCACCAGGGCCCGTCAGTGCTCTGATTGGCTTCAAAGCCATCACTTCAAAATCGACTGCTTTCATCAAAACAGGGGGCAGCTCTGCCAGTGATGCTAGCCAAGGTAGGTCAAGAGAGATGGGGACTCAGCAGGAGTCAGGTGGGAAAAGAGCACTGTCGGCTTCCACACTAAAGAGTGCAAAGAGATTGCGCCTGGACAGTGAGTCCCCAGAACCAGACACCAGGGGAGCCCCTGCAGAAGAAGTCCACAAGAGCCTCCCGGGAAGTCTCCCTCAGGCTGAAGTTGTCATGTCAGAGGAGGAGAGTTCTGTCCCAGCTGGCAGTCCAGTGTCTCGGTTCTCTGTCAGCACAGAAGAAGCCGTGGACTTGCAAGGCACAGCCATAGCTCATGCTCTCAAGAAAGTTGCTGAGTCTTCTTTTGACCTGCTACCTGTAATTCGTAGTCATGTGTACGTGGGAAACATCTCCAAAAAGCCCGTAATGCGAGACCAGGAGAAAGAAGTTGTATATGAGTTTAGCACAGCAAAAAAGGTATGTGGCTGCTTTTCTCTAAGTGCTTTATGAATGGCAGGTCCTCAAGGCAGATGTCTCCTGTGACAAAGAGTGCAGATGACCCTGAGCACAATTTCACAGGTTAAGAATTATGTATGTAATTGTTAGGACAAATTTTTACTTCTGTCAACATTTTATAAATTTGAAATAAGACACTGGAGGTTTGATAATTTGTATTAATTAAACAACTTAAAATTTTAGAGGAGAAGAATCTGTCAGGACTAAAATTGCATATTTCAACTTAATCTTGTCATTTTTAAAGGCTTACAGTGATTTCCTTCAGTGCATCAAATTATCACTCAATAGATCCTTTCTTTTCATTGAATACCAGTATATACACTTTTAAGTGCTTGAGAGTTTTACAGAAAGGCTCTTCAGTAATGGATGTCACAAATCAGACAGGAGCAAATGCTTTGTTTTAAAAGGAGAGGAAAGGGATTGTTCAGATTTACACACAATAGATTGTTAAAACTTCAGTACTTGCATGTTTTCTAACTATCCAGTGATACCTCATGTAGGTGACCTCCAGGGCTCAGTGGTTATGTGCACATCCTTGGAGTCCCGAGGCATAAGTACTTTGTTGATTTGGTTTTGATTGCTTACTTTCAGAGAGCATAAAGAGCACTGCAAGTAGCTTTGAAAGGGTGTTTCTTTTCAAGTGAATGAGTTTTCAAATTGTCCTTTCATGCTGCTGTTCTTTCTGAGCAAGAAAAATACCACCCAGTATTTTTAGATCTAAACATGTAGGGTCTGCGAGAGTTTAGAACACAGGGCTTCATACGCACATGCATGCACACAGATTGTTTGAGCATGCACTAGGAAATTATGATTTGAGTTGTAGAAGTGAAACTAGACAGCCAGTAACGTCTATACTTGCGATCTGGCATCTGTAGTGTTACCTATCATAGGCAGCAGACAAGCAAGGGGATTTTTTTACCCCTGTGCCGAACTTGGGGCTTTCCATATTGGGAAGTTGTTATCGTTTGTTAACTCTATTAGTATTGTGCAACTTCGATTTTTTCCAGTTTTATTTTTCCAATAGATACTAAATTATGCTATCTTTTGCTATTTTAGGTAGACTAAATATAAATACTATATGTGCATTGCCTTTTTATTTATTTTTTTCCACTTCAGCATTTGGCAGATTGCTTGCTTCACTCTATTCTCTCAGAACTAAAAGTTCAGAAGACATCAAGGGACCACAGTTACATCCATGCCCTGTGCAGAGTGTATGTGGGCATCTGCCGGCAACTGGGAGACCTGGAAAGAGCTCGCTTGTTCTGCTATAGTCTGCTGAAGGAAGGTATGTTTAGATGGTGACGATTTTGTATGAGAAAAATGCTGTTGCTCTGTTACCTTGTGCATAGATCTATGCTTTTCAGCTGTCTGTCACATATGTTTTAAGGTAATGTTGTGTTTTGTGCATTTATTAAAGGGCATAAGTAGCTTTAGCTATACCTAACTGCACCTCGTTTTCAGTAGAGAAAAATACTTAAATTTACTTGTGTCAGCACATAACACTTCCACTTGTGTATAATTAGAGTTTCTCTCATTACTGTATATTTATTTTATTTCTTTGTTGCTGCTTTAGGATGAGATAAAATTACATGAAATATGGGAACACTTTTAAAATGGCAAACCACACTTTTATGCCATTAACTGAAAAGGGTAGCACATATAGGATGAATTCTTAAGCTAATGAAAGAAGTGTATCGGAGAGAAATGAAAAGGCCTCTGAGGCCAAGGGTTGTTTTGAGATTATCTTTTCCCTTCACTACTATTTCTTTAGCTCCTACTCAGGAATCACATCAGGAGTCCTTCTTCCTTGTATTAGGTCATCAGTGTTTTTAAATAGGGAACAGATACTCAAATGGAACTTATTAGTGCATCAGAAAGTCTTTAAATTCTGCCTGCTTTATTTCTGCATTAACTTTTTCACTCATTTGTTCAGCAAACATGATTAGGTGCTTGCTAAGAGTTCTGCGGTGACCAAAATCAGATGCGGGTGTGACTATCCAGTGGGACTGAAAGACCAAGTAGCATCACATGAACACTCTTTGGGTTTAACAGTGACGGGTGGTAGAGAGGAGAGGGACGTGGGCTCAGCCAAGTCCATGTGGCCTTCTTGTTCTTTCTTAGCCACAGCAAATTCATTCTCACCAGTCTTGTTTTCAAAGATTTCACTTTGTTTCCCTCAACTTCACTAGGGCTTACTTACACTTCACATCCTTCTTTAGTCATTCTCTATCTCTTATTCTCCTCTTTTTGCCTTCATGTCACTTAATCAATGTCTCATACATCTTTTCGTTTGCCATCTCTCCCCCTCTAGAATGTATATTCTGAAAGGACAGAATTTGTCTCATTTACACTCTGTCCTTACCCCCAGATGAATGCATTGTTAGCAGTCATTAACCATCTGTTGAATGAATGAATTATACTTTGGAAGATGGATTTCATAGTCTGAGGAGTCAGGGAAATTTTTTTGTACCAGGGATTGAACCAAGGGGTGCTTAAACATCGAGCCACATCTCTAGCCCCCCCTTTTTTTAAGACAGAGTCTCACTAAGTTGCTAAATCCTTGATGAGTTGTTAAGGCTATCTTTGAACTTTCAACCCCAGAACCACTGGGATTTTCAGTGTGTGCCACTGCACCTGGCAGGAGTCAGGGAAGTCTTCTTGGTCTTTGTGACTTTTGAATTTGAGGTGTGAAGATATAGAAGAGGTATATATGTGGAGAGAATTCCGGGCAGAGAGGATCTGTGAAGTCCAGTGAAAAGAAGAAATTCCATCAGATAAACATAGGACTTAATTAATAGATCAAAATAGTGCAATGAGTTTATGCCTTGAGCTACCTACTTTTTAAAAAAAAAAAAATTTATAGATAAGAACAGAGGAAATGAAAAAGATGAGCCTTTAGGACAAATGGTATAAAAATCTGTATAACCACATTAGAAAACTTTTTTTAAAGAAATAAAATTGACATTCACTTATATGACCCAGGCATTTCATTCTTAGGTACAGTACAACAAAAATAGAAACATATCCTTACATAGACTCTGATATAAATATTGTACTAGATTTGATTCATAATGGCCCATAACTGGAAATGGTGTTAATAGCAGGTGAATGGAAACAGATTGTGCTCCACCAGGCAACTGAGTACTGCTTGGCGGGGACAGGAACAGACTGCTGATGCACATAGCCACATGATGGGAAAAGAGGACACATTACACTAGTCCGTGAGTAAACATTTGAGGAAAGGCATACTGACTTATAGTAGCTAGAAGCAGATCAGAGATTTGGAGTCTGGGGGTCAGAGGACTCAGGGTTGGAGTTAGAAGTTTGGGGGATGGTGAGTATTCATTATGACTGTGGTAGTTGCATGGACTTATTCATTTGTTGAAAGTCATCAAACTGTGTACTGAGAGTACTTTATTGTATATAAACTATACTTCAGTTAATTTAAAAGGAGAACCAGAATGTGAAAGAAAGTATTTGCAGCAGAAATCTTGGCATTCAGAATTCATTAAAAGAAAAACTCTTCAAATCAGAAACTTTGTGTTCAGCACATAAGCTCAGCCAGTATGAATGCATTAACTTCCCTGCAGTGACAACTGTCAAATGAAGAATCTGAGACTGTGAAAATTTGGAGAGAGGATTCTTGCTGAATTTTCTTTGTTTTGGAGTTTTGGCTTATTTTTCTTTTTTCATACAATGCTATACTTTTGTGTAATATATTTAAAGTATAACTAAAGAAAAGATACTAATGTAGGGGGAGGAAAGAGTGGATATTGATATAGCTCCCAAGAGCAGAGCTTTCAGCCATCCATTTGCATTCCCTTCAGCTCTGGATGCAGTTTTACCAGGCACCAGTGAAATAAGTAAAATTTATTCTTGAGTTGTAATTTATTCACTTGATCAGACACAGAGGTTTATTGTATTGTTTTCTTTCTTGTAGATTTTCCAGAGTCTGAGAAGTTGACTTTGTTTATTGCCAACATGTGGCATGATGTATTTCTCTCTCCCTCGGTGATGAGTACAGCCATGCAGTTGGTTGCCAGGCAACGTGCTAAGGGAGAGGTTCTGAACTGCTTGAGAGCCTTTCTCAATTGGGAAAAGGTGAGCTGTTTTTATTTCTTATAATACCTTACTGTAAACTTTTACATAGGTGTTTATTATCTGGCTTTGTGTGTAGTTTTTCATTAGTTCATAGGCATCTACATATTAGGTCCTTTGAAATATCATTTTATCCTTAGCTTATGCATTTTATTCATTAAATGTTCACGAGACAGGCCAGGAATAATTGTAGAACTGCAGATTGTGTTACTTTAACGATTGTTTTATACCCCAATACAGATGACATTACATAGTTTGTTTTATGAATGATGAAATTCATACATATGTATATATGGGTAAAGGTCTTGGAAGAGCTGTAAAATATTTGGCTCTACAATAGGTGCTTAAGTGGAAAAATTGATACTTAAATTTCTTCTTGTTAGGCTTTTTTGAATTTAATATTTTTCTTAGTGGAATTTGTATTTGTTCTGAATACATGATTTTTCTATTACCTTTCATTAATTTTGTTTTTCTTTGGTTATTAACGTATTGAAGTAGTATTTAGATTGGCATTTTTTTGTTCATAGATCTTATCTAATGGGAATTCAGTTGACAATAGTACAGTGTAAGCAGAGATAGTAAAATCAGCAAGGGGTGGATTTTTATCTGCCTTTCTCTTTTTAATGAGCATGTGTTACTTTTATCTTTTAAAGACTCTAATGACTTATGTTTGGAGTTGAATTTTACACATTTTGCTTTCCTTCTTAAGTACTTGTAGATGTCAGTGTTCCTTAAGCTTTTATTTTTTATAAAAATGGGACAAGAAGGGTACTGGGGTTCCAAGTTTGACTATTAAAAAGCAAGTCTGGCCGGGTATGGAGGTGCACACCTGTAATCCCAGTGAGGTGGGAGGCTGAGTCAGGAAGATCAAGAGTTCCAAACCAGCCTCATCAACTTAGTGAGGCCCTGTCTCAAAATAAAAAAGGGCTGGGATGTGGCTCAGTGGCTAAGTGCCCCTGGGTTCAGTCCCCAGTACAAAAAAAAAAAAAAAGCAAGTCTGTAATCACCTCTTCAACAGTCTATTTGGACAAATCAATGTATGTGATGTAAGGTACTGTCACAAATTCCAGTGGGTCATTTAACAGTGGTGACTTCCCATGCTAGGGTTTAGCTCAGTGGAAGAGTTGGCTTATGTACTATGCACAAGGCCTTGGGTTCCATCCCCAAATCATGGCAAAAGAAAGTGAAGATGAAACCTTCTTCCTGACTCCCACCAGGGGACACCCACAGTCACACAGGCATCCTCCTCTAGAAGGAGTATCGCTGATTCAAAATGCTGGTGACCAGAAGTGCTTCAGCTTTCATGTGTTGTGGATTTTGAAATACTTGCATAGACTTTATACTTTGAGTATAAAAACCTAAATCCAAAATGCTCCAAAACCAAAACTTTTTGAACCCAGGTTTCTTGTATTGAGAATATAAGTGTGCATGATGTATGTATTATTTTTGTATTAGAACTTGTATGTAGTGCTGGTGGAAGTGCCAAAAGATGATAAAAGTACTTTGGAAACTAGACAGACAGCTTCTTATAGAGTGAAGTGTATTTTTAAAAAGGGCCCAACAGTTCCCCTCTTAGGTATTTGCTAAAGAGAAGTGGAATTCATATCCACAAAGACATACACATTGACACTGACAAAAATACATTCATAATACCCAAAAGCTGGCTGTAATCCAGATGTCTATCAATCAAGAGGTTAGGAGACCATCAACTAGTGGCAAATCCATATGATGAATTGCTATTCAGTGATAAAAAGAAATGTTCAGAGTACTAATACATGCAGCAATATGGATAAATATCAAAAAGTACCATATACAACTGTGAAGGAAGCCAGATATAATTGTCCAGCATTGTCATATTCCATTTTGTGGATTTCTGAAAAAGGCAAACTGGACTCCAGAATCCTAAGAACAGAATATTAAAATGTTTTTAAGGCCTTTAAAAAAATTATTAATGGATATTATAACTTTTATTTTCTGATTTGAGTTGAGGAAAAATTGTATTCCTATCTGGCTTATAGCTAAACTCTTTCTACTTGATTTAATTCTGCATCTTGCCTTATTTATTTATTTTTTTTAATCCTGGTTTATCAACTACTGTTCTGTAATCATTTTATGCTGAGTATTATGACTAACAGAAACATGGTTTCTTATTCAAAATGCAACTGAAAAAGTTGTTTTTAAGATTAAATAAGTATGCATTTGCATGTTTTAATGTTTGAGATTACTAACCATACATTTGAGGTTTACTATATTTGAGACTCATTTTATTTTTTTAATTCATTTATTTTTTTATTTGTTAGAATGCACCTGTAGATGTTGGCATCATGGTTTCTAAGCTACTTTTGACCATACAGCTAAGTCCAAAAACAGAATTTCAGTCCAGTGAGAAGTTTGGAGAAGACTTAAGTGATAACATTTGGGAATATATATTTGCCATTGATTTGCTCTGCTGTCATAAGAAATGGATTTGGACACATGATAACATCATAAGGTTAGCTATTTTGCCAACTTAAAGATGGGTTGTTTTAATTGTATAGTTGTCTGTTGAATACTTAATTGTAGTTATAAGGCAATGTTTACAAAAGACATTTTTGTTTCAATGAAAGTTCATAAAATTACCCTTAAAATATCTGTGAACATCACATTCCTTTGCTTTATTTTTCTGAATACTTCTCACTACTTTTTGTTACTCTCTCTCACCAGTAGAAATGACTCTTAGGAAGGGGTAGTTTGGGTCACTGGTATATCCTGAACACATAAGATAGTGTCTATTACAAGGGAGACACCCAGCAAATAAGTGTTGAATAAAGTGTCATGATCATTTGCATAACACACAGATAATTTGGAAAAAGAAAGAACAGAAGTATTAAAAGTAGCAGCTTTTCATGTGGGAAAGAATTGAGTCTGATGCTGTAGGCGTCCATTGTATCTAATAAGTTAGTTTTTCTCTCCATGCCCATCATTCTAGCACTAACTCTATACCATCTCTGAGAGAACGGAGAAAATTGTCACTCAAACAGTTTCCTTTAGGCCTTAATTTTCTTGTGGAACCCTGATTGAGAATGACTGGATCAAGGGAGCTTATGATATTAAAAAGTATTCACCATAGGGTTGATAACCCATGTCCTTGAAATATTTGAAGTAACTTCTGTGAGAACCCATCTATGTCAAGGATGTTGTTGCTTCTCTGACACTAAGGAGGATGAGACAGCTAAATGCTAAACAATAGGGATTGAATCCTGGTCCATCTGTAGAATTAGATTCAGCTATGTTAAAATACATAGCTATAAACAGGTTTTTGTGTGTTGACAGAGAAAAATAGTTCACAGTTATCAATGAGAAAGTGACAGAGCCGTGTGTGCAGTGCCCATGTGTGATGATATGAGGGCTGTGCGGGTCCCCTTTCCCTGACTCTTCATGGGAGCCCAGGAGGCAGAAAAACTCTCTGTCCACAGTCCCACCAGCAGTGAGGATAGTGTGGCACCTCAGGACTTCTAATTGAGTGACTCCAGACCCTGCCTCTTCTCTCAGCATTATGGAGGCTCCCAGTACATTGTTAACATTTGTAAGAGAAAAGTGTCTAGAAAGAAAAGCCAGAATTAGAAGAGTAATGATTATCCAAGTTATGATTATTTGCAGTGCTTTTTATTTTCCATTTTTCTTTTGCTTGCTTAATTTTTCCCATGATACATTGTGAATGCCACGTAAGAAGTAAATACCTTTTGAAAAGAAAGGAATTGTCACTATTTTCAGTATGTGGAAGGTTTTCTTTATCCATCTAAAGTGTGCTTTGATGTTTGGCATTAGTTTCCCCTGGGGCTTGGCTATTTTCACACTTGTGGCTTATTTGTGATTCTCCCAGTTAACTATGGGCTCCTGGAACTCAGGCTTCTTGAGTGCCAGAGGGGCCACGTGAAAATCCAGACTCCACCACCTCCTAGTCCTGTGACTTTGAGATTGCTGTCAAGGGTAAAAAAAACCAGAAGAAGGTTGCAGGCACAGGTGGGTAGCTGTAGCCCCTCATGAGCCAGTGTGGGCACAGATACCCTGAGAAGTTAGACAAGGTGTGAGCTTCAGTGTCCGTTCTCACTCAGGTCACCATATCAGCCCCTCCACACTTAACTCGTCTTTCCTCCGGGTGTATGGATCATGTGTAAGACCAGCTATTGTTCAAGTGATGATGGACTCAGATCCTTTGTGCTGCTGTTTTCCAGTAAGGAGCTGTGGCCTGTCATGGATAAGTGGATAAAGTATAGAAAAGGACACACAAATGTGGCATATACTCCCGACGTTATCATAGCATCCATCCTCAGACTGATTGGTGAGTTGTCTGTTTTATTGCTTTCTTTTTCCTTGTTATTCATGGGAGAATAAATATTACTATTATAATTGATTTTGAAATCTCACCATACCAACCTTCAGAACAGTTTAATATTTAAATTAATCCTTCTTAGTCATTCTCTTGCCTTATACACTAGTGTTGTGTCCATCTTTCTCGGGGATTAAGTCTTCATGTTAGTACACTTGGCAAACAATTGAGCTCTTGCTTCTAGATTCTAATGTTAATTCACATACACACTAGGGTACATAAATTGCTATAAATTACACTGTAGTCTCACTTGGTGTCTAAAATGAGAATGTCTTCACACAACCCACCACAGTTTTTTTATATTTGCCTAATAAGCAAGAGAGTAAGAGTATACAAAATTAAATTCACCATTTAAAAATATTTTAAATGAGACCTAGCTTCTCCTTACCCTCAGATCTAAAGAGGACCCCAGTGGCCATTTGGTTATATTCCTTCCCTTGAGCCCACATTTTTTATTTTTTTCCTCTTTGTTTAAAATGTGACAGACTGTCCAAGCCCTGCAGAATTATCAGGGGCTAGTTCTTGTGATTATTAAAAGACTCTGCTGACATGTGGTGTGTCAGCCACATGTCTCCTTCATCACCCAGAGGAACACAGACCCAAGTTCTTTGGTTGCTGCACCATGGCCCTTCAGATGCTTCAAGAATGTCCATGTGACTTTCACATTTGGATCTTAGCTAATTAGAACTAAAATACAATACATTTGAAAATAAGTTTGTTTTGAGAGTATGTCAAGAGTAAGCTTTATACACTCAGTAGGACTTGTGATCTCCCTGCTGCCTTGGTCACCACATTAGCAGGTATGCATTCATCTTCCATGTGAGCTGCACATGCAGATGCAGAGACTTCTCGCTGGTACCTATTTAGGTGGAAATATGTTACCCAATAAGGGAATGTGGGAACCAAATGGTTGCTAAAAAATAGAGGAATTCAGAAGAGTTGTATCAAAATATAAACAGCCCAGAAGTGGAAATGAATAAAATGTGCTCAATTGGGCATAGTCTCAAAACAGTTTTGCTGAATTCCTTGGTTCAACGACAATTTCCATTCCTAGATATGAAGCAGTAAGGAACACAGGAAGGCCAGTGCTAACAAATCCAACCGTCAAGTGACATCTGCGTTTCTGGAAATTCTGATTCCAGTGGCAGTTTCTTTATGAATTCAGGAAAAATGTTCATACTGTGGACTAACTCTTTCTAAATGGTAAAATCTTTTTGAGAATTTGAAAAATTAGGAGAGGGATTTTAAGTCTGTTAATACATGTTGTCTCAGAGGAAGTATCTATGGAATTTTTGAAAGATTTATATTTTTTGTAGCCATGCTTTAAAATATGGCTTTTCCTGTTCTTGTTGCCTTGGTTGTGATTCTGTATTTATTTAAGAGGGGAAGTGGGATTAAACATGGCATGTCTGGTGCTCAGCAGAAGCAGCCTCTGCCTTTAGTTCAGGAAGGTGAGCCACGCAGATAGCTCCTCTCATCACTTGCATAAGAACTCTTTAATTAGATTTTATCACTGGGGCTGTGAACTTTGTCTGGTTGTCCAAATTGCCTGGGAAGCTGTATTTAAGATGCTGATTCTTAGGTTGCTCCACCCAAGGCTCTTTCTGATGGTCTTGTGGAGAGCTGGGTCTTCAGTGCCTTTCATGGAAGCCTCTGATAACATGGACTTGGAAATGATGGTTGCCTCAGTAATAGCAATCCATTGCTGGGTATGGTGTTGCACACCCATAGTCCCAGTGGCTTGGGAGGCAGAGTCTGGAGGATCACAAGTTTGAGGACATCCTCTGCAACTTTGCGAGACCCTGTCTCAAAAAGTAAAAAGGGCTGATGTGGTTCAGGGGTTAAGTGCCCTTGGGTTAAAAAAAAAAGCAATACACAGGTTTAGATGTCACAGAACTTTTAAACAGACAGTATGTAAATGTATACTATAAAAAGTAGCCCATGTGAATTGAAAAGAATTTGTTAATAGTTTATCCAAGAGTGAGTATGTAAATTATAGGAAGAAAACACAATTTGTATTTATGTCAAACTAAGGCTACTTTGTTCTTTAAATCTTTAATAGTCTGGCTTTTGAGTGATAACCAAATAACTTATGCCATATTTAATATGTATTATTTCGTGTAATATATGTATATTTATAAAATTGATATTTTACAATTTGTATTATAGGGAATAATATATAATTAACAATGTATAACTGATAAATAACTGATAAATCCATGTAATAAAATGATAAGACTAAATATGTACATGTAGTTCTAAGGATGGATAGTTAGAAAGGACAACATTGAAATTTGGAGCAGAGTCTGGACACTTGGGTCTGCCAATGGAGCTGGCAGGCTTGCCGGGGGATAGGTATGGAGGAGGCTGGGGTGCAGCTCATCTGCAGCGTGCTGGCAGGCTGAGGCTGGGGATGGTGCTGAGCTTTGTCCCACTCATGTTTTGGTGCTTCAATGTTAGGCACTAAGGCCCATGCAGCCAAGCTGTTGCTGCATGGTGAGATCGCTGGTCATGAGGGTAGAGGGAGAAGGCAGCTGAAGCCTGCAGTTCAGAACTGCTGTGGCCTGAGAAGGAAAGTTGTTCCCCACCCCCTTGTCTGGAATGGCTGCTGGCTGAGAAACTCTGTTATTGAAACTTCTCGCCAGGTCTAAGGCTGACCATGACTAAAGAATTTAATCAGTAATTAAGTTGGTTGGCCTTGATATAACATTGCCTGTTGAGGTCACAAACTAAGCATTCATAAAATAAAAAGAATTACCTTTATTCTTAATTCCAAATGTGCAAAGTTCTAATTAATGAATCTTAATCCATGGTAAATAAAACAAGCTTGTGTAGTGTTATCTACTGTTGAACTGAGGTATCAACATTGCTATTAGAAAGTTGTCATCTGTGATTACTAACTGGGGTTTACTTTGATTGGCCTTTTCTAACAATAATGTGTCCAAGACCTTCTGTGGAATGCCTGAGTGGCTCTTGACTCAGAGACATGGAAGAGTGACAGAACCACTTGTAACCTTAGCACTCCTCGTTTCTTGGTAGAGACGAGACCTAGGAAGGTCAAGCCCTAGACCAGGTTTACACAGTGAAGTTAGCAGAGCCATGGCAGAAAATTGCCTGGCACTGGATTCAGTGGAATTTAAGCTACACAATGCTACGTCTCTGCCCCCAGAGAGCTCATTAAATTCTGAATAACAAGGCCCACCTTCATTAACTGGAACCTACCCTGTAGGAATACACTCCATCAGATATCAGGTTTGTACAAGTCAGAAATAGCCCTGACTTGATGCTTTCTCTTCATTCTCCTCTCAGGTCTTTCAATTGTCCTTTGGAATTTCCTCAGCACACCCTTTCATTAGCATAACTGGAGCCAAAGTCTTGTCCTCATGGTGATTTTTCAGTTCACCAGAAGATTTGCTCTCCCTGCAGGCTGTTAGCTTTTCTCTAGTGGCCTTGTCATGTTATGGAGTAGGTGGTCTTTGACAGTGAGGTTAGCTTCACACTTCTGTTGGTATGCTACTGTAGCTGAGTGGCCTTGGATTCCTTCACATCTCTTCTGTGGGGGACTTTTCTTCCCATCTGTTTGGCAGATTCACCTGTCATCTTTAACAAGCCAACATGTACTTGGGTCTTTTTCCCAAAACATTCTACTCAGACTTATGATTTTATCTATTTTTTAAATTTATTTAGACATTTATGAAACCAATTTTATTGAGCACATTAAATTGAATGAAAGGGAGCCAGTATAACATGGTGGGGTATCATTATCTGAAAACACTTATCCTGTATCTGAATGATCCCACTGCTACAGTAGGCACATGTTCCTCTCTCTGCTATCAGTTATGCATTAAGTACCCCAGCATGCAGTTAGCAGTTTGATCTAATTGCAAGAAGCTATTTAAAAGTGATAACAACCACTTGAAATTTGTGATCTCTGAAGTACATAACTTTTCACCTTCATCAAAAGGCTGCATAAGAAATTATGGACGTTTGCGGTTCTCATCTTGGACTAGGAATTATCCAGATGTTCTTAGATCAGTGGATATTTACTGAATATCTGCTGTATATCGCAGGACTCAAAGTGTATGTAACAAGCACTAGACATGGTTCCTCTAGGTGTAAGTTTCCTAGGTATTATAGCCTCAGTTTCTCTATATTCAAAATCAAAATGTAGTTCACGTACTGTATTCACAAATCAACCTGTGTAATATTGGTAGTAGTGAGGGATAGCATGGTCATTGAACAAGCATTCAATATAGTATTTTCATAGAGGTACAACCAAGATATCTTCCAGAATCTTCTCCGATAAGGGAAACAGTGAAAAGAAAATGAAGGCCCTGCTTGCTGGAGGAGATGAGATTTTGGCTTGGAACAAACTTGCATTATAGGACACCCACTGGAATAAAGGAAGGATTGAGGTTTTTAGTAACTCCATAAATTATATTGTTCTTCTTGATTGATTGGCTTGACCTGTGACCTAGATCATTGGTTTTCATGCCTTTCAGTCTCAAGACCCCTACATACTATTAGTCACTATTTAGAACTCAAAAGAATTTTTGTTACTCCAGGTTATATCTACCAGTATTTACTATATTAGAAATTAAACTGAGAAATTTTCAAGATATTTATTTATTTAAAGTAAAAAGTAATAAGCTCATTAACATAAGTGATATTTTCATTTTGTTTTAAAATACCATGTTTCCGACACCAGCAAGAGAAGCTGGACTGCACTGCTGGTTGTACCTCCTTTCTGTCTGCTTTGTTAGAAGGTGGCCGTTTTCTCATTGTCTGCTCTGCACTTAGTCTCTTGCAATCTGCTATTCGGGTTACCTATATGAGGTAAATTTAGTCATGTAGGTGGTAGTTGATTAAAAGGAAGAATGGGAAGAATAATTTTAATAGGCTTTTCAAATGTTTGGATAATTCTAGGTTCTAGATGTTCCTCTTTGATATTACAATAACATTCAACAAATAGCAGTTCCTTTTTTTTCCCCCTTTTCTTTTCTTGATATGGGAGTCTTGTTGTATTGCCCTTGTTGAAGCTGTAATTTACAGGTTAGTTGCAGTATGCAGTCTGAAACCCCAGCAGTGAACTTCTCATACTCTCACTACCATCCACTGGCCAAGTTTACCCAGTGAAGGTGTCCATTTGCCCATTGATGCTGTGTCCTCCATTGCTCACTTGGAAGATAATGATTTGTACACATCTTCCAGGTGTCAACAATAAAAAAACAAAAAGAAACTCCCCAAACCCACACATATCATATCAACATTGTTCTCTTAGGTAATATGAAAATGACTGATAGAAGTTGTCCGAGAATTCTAATTATGCTTAAAGGCTCCAAGTGTTGTCATACAACACAAGAAAAAGTTTCATTGAAGTTACAGCTCACTTTGTTCATGTTCGAGAACACATCTGCATTTTCCCACTGTTATTTTTTGGGTGAAGGTGTCATTGCCTGGGAAAGCTGCCTCGCTGCACTGTATGCAGACAACTGTGTGCTTTTCTTCAGATTGTGTACTTTTCGGTCCAGATCTGTTGAGAGTGCTGGTGACTCTTCACCGGGGCTTTTCTTAAATGAAAATGGGTCTTCTGGCTGCAAGCAGCTGGTGATGAGAAATGGCCCCTATCCAACGAGGTGCCTCTTCTCTGACCTGTGCTGGCCGCAGTTACTGATCTGCTGTTGTCTTTGTACCATTGTCCCAGTGCTGAAGAGACAGAGTTTCCTAGCGTTGGTGTGGGATCCTTTTGACTTTGAGGCCTCCCAGGATTCTGTAGCCTTGCTAAGAAATTGCCTCTCTGTATTACAACAGCAGTTAGACCAAAAGCATGTGTTTGGCTGGGACCACAGTCTTATATTTGACCTGTTAACCTAATAGAAGTCAGCCATTGACATGTGACCTGCTGAAACATTCTCTGCACTATGTCAAATGCCATTTGTTATGTTGTAGCTGGACTGAGAAGCTGCACTTTGTCATCCTGTTGGGGTAAAAGCAGAGACAGTTGGCCATTTTGTTGACATCCCTGGGTTTTTATTTTCTTTCTTCTTTTTTTTTTTTTTTTTGTTGTTGTTGTAGTGCTGGGGATTGAACCCATAGCCTTGTGCATGTGAGGCAAGCACTGTACCAGTTGTTGGCACTCCTGAAAGACCAATGTGCTCCATGAAATCTTGCTGCCTTGCTATTCACCCATTTTCACTTAGGAGCAGTCACCCTTTTAACTTTAGTTCAGGGTTCTTAGCCAGAGAGCACTAAGGTCACAGGAACAAATCAAAATTCATACGAAGAGTGATCAGTATCTCACCAAGGACTCTCTGTGTTTTGTCTTGTTTGTTTCCCTAGGTCGCTTGGGCCAATTGGGTTTGAAGGAAGGATTTCCAACTGCTGTGAAAAATATTAGTTCGGTTATTGGTATGTTCATACAACATGCTCAGGATGAAGGTAAAACTCTTATTTATCAAAATTGCTTTCATATCTCTTGAGTTTCTCTTACTGTTTAAGCTTTTTTTTTTTTTTTTGAGTCTCTACTGTGTGCCTCGCTGTGTGCTTGTACATAGGGAAAATGAGATGGATGCTCAGTGTTGCTGTTTGTGCGTGTGAGTTCCATGGTGTAGTTTGTTCTTTTTAGTAGCTGACCCTGTTGGGCAGTGTTCCCCTAAGGAAGAAAGTGCTCTCTTCTCGCTCTGCTTCTGCCTCAGACACTCTGTCTGAGCCCTGGGTCTTAACCTTGGACCTCTGCAAGGCCTCCTGCTCAACTATGTCCTGACCAGCTGAAGTCACATGTAAAGCAATGCTGCATGGTGAGGGACCCACCATTGTTGTGTGCTTAGCATCAGAAGAGGATTGGAAAGCTAGAAATCCTGCGAGCAGTTGCTGTGCTGGGATTTCTGTTATCATTTACATATTACATAGTATATAATTTTATGTCTTACTCTTGTGAGAAAAGCTTAACTCAAAATAACCGTTACAAGTGATATATCTAGTTTCTGTTTTGAGTATTGTGCAATCAAAAAATAATGTAGTTAACTTTTCATCAGAGAGGCACAAGTGACATCTTAAATACTGCATGACACACAAGGTGATCTTAACATGTTAGGTCTTTGTCTTGAGCTTTCAGAGGGAGGTTTGCTGTGCTGAGCTGGTAGAGCACAGTCTGAAGGTGGCTCCCTGAAGCACCCTCCTGACTTCAGGGTGACTGCTGAGGGGTGCTTTCCTTCTGCATGAGCATTCCTCATTCCTCCCTAACCCTAACCCTAACCCTCCTCGTGCTGATGAGAAGGATTCTAGCCCAGAACAGCCCCAGAGGGTCACCTTGCCAATAAATGAAGACTTGTCCTGTTGCTGGGTTAGTGTAACCTAGAAACCAAGCAGCCCTAACCATGAGGAGGAAAGAGCCGCCGTGGGCTGTGGCAGATTACTACATGGCACTGCCCCGTCCTGTGGCATCCACTACCAGCCACACCCACCCTCTGAGGTGGATGGCACCACCCTTATTGCATATGCCAGGCCTGGGGGAAGCATAAGATATGTTCTTAGGTAAGATATGTAAGGAGCGGTGCCTTGGCAGCCCTGTTCACCCAGGTTTGCATGACTCCAGAGCCAGTCTCTTTAAACAACATTACATATCTGCCTTTATATAAAGTCCTTTTTATTTTATCTGCTTGTTGTTTCACTCACATGGCATTTTAATTTGAGCCGTGGCCATTTTCTGTGCCATGCTCTGTGCTTCTTTCAATATTTGTAGGTGTTGGGGTGGAGAAGGGGTATGGGTAGTAAAAGCATCAGTTCTGCTATTATCTTAAACATTAACATTTGCATGTGTGGTGTGTTTGTGTTGTTTTTTTTAAATACAAGTTGAGCATCCTTAATCCAAAAATGCACGATATGATACCATAAGTTTCTACTTGTGTAGAACCATGAAACATTTCCGTGCATAAAATTATTAAAAATATTGTATAAGATTACCTTCAGGCTTTATGTATAAGGTGTGTATGAAACATAAATGAATCTTGTATTTAGACCTGAGTCCTATTCCCGAGATATCCCATTATTTATATACATACATTTCAAAATCCAAAACAATCTGAAGCACTTCTGGTCCCAAGCATTGCAGATAAGGGCCACTCAACACGTGTCGTGTCACTTTCAGAAGACTGAAATACAGTTAATAATAAATTTAAACTAACTCATAAAATATTTAAACTTAATGTAAATAAACCCTAACTAAATTAAGTTTTAAGTAAAATAAACTAAGTAAAACTGCTAAATAAACTGCTAGAAGAGAACTATAATATTCTACTATGGTTTGTAAGTTAGATAAGATCCACAATCCTGCACTGTAATCCAGCTTATTAAAGTGTCTCATCTCATTGCATTTTTTCACATCCAAAGTCCATTTAGGAACACTACTAGTGGATATTGAATAGATTCATATTGGACAGATGTTAGGAGCGCCTTGTCTTCTTAAACTTAAATGTGAGTGCTTTCTGGAACTGCTCTGGGCAGAGAAGTTCTGGGTCTCTCCCCTTTCCCCCACATGGCAGTCCTCAGAACACAGCCAGTGCCAGGAGTTCCAGGAGCTAGGGTCAGGTCGTTTTTCCTTTTCATTGTGGATAGTTCTTAATGATTTTTTTTTTTTTTTTTTTTTTACTGTGGGATCTTTCTTATGCATTTGATCTTCATTGCTGGCAGAAAGAATTCTTTATCTGAAAGCATTCCTGTAGATTACAACATTAAAATTTTGAGTAACAGATACTGTCTTATGTTATGATTGATTTAAAATTTCTCTTCAGATATACCATGGGGAATACAGTTAGCAGCTGTGTATGCTCTTTGTGACTTGAGTCCCAGCAACCCAGCGGAAATTTCCAAGATCCTAGAAGCTTGGCGGAGACAGACCTCCAGCAGCATCCCATCTGCAGTCGTCAGCTGCCTGGAAGAAGTCGGCTCCCTGAGTGTGGAGGGGCTCAGCTGAAGGCAGGGGCCGCTGCGGCTGGAGAAGTGCCTTGACACATCCGCTGTCCGTACACTACTCAGCTTTAGGAATACAGCGTGAGGTCCAGATGTGAAGTAGGTAGAATGGCAGCAGCCCTCCCCAGCGTGGGCAGGGAGAGCAGGCAGCTGTGTAATTGTTCTTTCCTAAACCACATACATTTCACTTTGGCTGTTGTGATCATGTGACATGGGTTGTGTAATTGTGTCTTGGTCAAACAACAAACACTTGAACCTAGCCCTTTTTTTGCTGCAGAAAGTGTCCTTTTAGTGGCTTTTAAAAGTTGAATGGCATTTTATAATGAATTTAACAATATAAAAACAAGATTTGGTTCCTGGGCTATTTTGGGCTTTATGCTCATATAGTGTCTAGGAAGAAACAAATTGGCTAAAAAAGAAATAAAAGAGTCTTCCGCTCTCTTAGCTGGAAATGGGCTACAGAAGTTTCTCTCAAGATGTGCTTAATTGACCACAGTAAAACACTGAGAGCTGTCAGCAGAAATTCACTTTACTGCATCTTCTTCATATCTCTAAAGGTTCTTAAGAATATTTAACTATATATCAGGAAGGGAACTGAACCATAGATGTTCCACTGCAGGTTTTTGTATCAGAACATGTATATGAGTGACTCCGCGGTGACCGCAGCAGAGCTCGGTGTGCTGTGTACATACGGACAGTGCTATGATGTGTCTCACATTGGATGATATTCCACTTTCGGAATTTTAGTATTTGTATATAGAAAATGGGTTTAATAACTCACCGTGATTCTGATTTGTCTTATATTCATCATTTCTTAAAACTCTTGTATGTGTTTTTTATAATAAAAAATAAAAGTAAGCCATGCACATTGTTGTTATGATTATTAAAGTGTGACACTTGGCATTTCTCTACCAAAGATGAAGAAAATACTGTAACCCAGGCCAGAAGGAAACGGCCATCCCTTAGGAGCCTCGCCTCCTGCACAGGTGCTGCACTGCCAGTGCTGAGCTAGTTCTGGGCACTCACTGAGCGGGTGCTCCGTGGTGATGCCAGGTGAGTGCTGAATGGCTCTCAGGATTTGATTTGTTTTTTAATTATAATTTAATTATAATTGCTGCCCTTTTAAAAAAGCTTCATCTGACAACTCTTCTGCTACTCCTTCTGCCTCTTTTCCTAAGCATCACAGACATAACTTGAAGCTCTGGAAGTTGTTTGTTGGTGTGGTCATGCTTTCCACCAGTGTGCATTGGGCATCTCTGCCAGGTGCCTGGCTGGGAGGACCTGGTCAGGGCAATTGAGAAACAGATTCTCATAGAGCTATGATCTGTGGGAAGAGAAAATTTCTAAGGAACCACCCAGTAAATACAGCATCATGAATCTGGTGAGGTGCCATATTAAGAAACCATGAAGCGCACAGTGGAGAAGAGCGGGAAAACCTCTCTCTTTTCTGTGCGAGGCAGGTTTTTTTGAGGAGTTGATGCTGAAAAGACCTTGAAAGAGGAAGCCAGCCTTGAACATACAGGAGGAGTGTCCCTGTGTATGGTTGAGGTTGGCCCTGTGAGGTGAAAAATGTACTGTGTGCCAGAAGGCAGTTGCTGTGACCACAACACAGGACAAATGTCCATAAGATTGTGTTAGACAGGAATCTAACAGTCACTTTGGACTTGAACACCTGACCCCCAGCTGGGAACACATTCACAGTGCTTGGAACCCAAGGCTTCAAGGAAGAGTTGAACAGAGATGTCACGTAAGGTTGGAGTTCACTAAGACTTTTTTGAGATGAAGGGATGTGCAAAGACTGAGAAGTGAACCAGAAAGACCTGTAAGGGGACCTGCAGCAATGGCAGTGTAGACAGTCAATGGTAGGTAGATTTAAACCTGTGGTGGAGGGCTGGAATGTAGCTCAGTGGTAGAGCACTTTCCTCACATGCAGGAGGCCCTGGGTTCCACCCCCAGCACCACAAAACCAAAAATAAAACCTATCATGTGGGTGGAATCAATGCTATATCCATTAAGTGGGGGGTGAGGAGCAGGAGGGAGTCTGGGAATAGTCCCAGGTTAGTGAGTTGGGCAGGCACCTGGGGTGGGGCACAGGGGTACAGGTTTGATAATGAAAGTCACAAATGCCATGCTTTCCATTTGACAGGGGAGCCCTGAGACATGCAGGCATCAGTGACAAGGAATCTTTACAGGTGAAGTTCTGCCCAAGGACCAGGGCAGAGGTTTTGAAGTTGGCAGCGTATGGAGGATGTTTACAGATCTATATTTGTGTATTCACTTAAGGAGAAAAATAACTTCCCTTGGCCGACCTAGAATTTGAGGTGGTATGGGAGAGAGTGGAGAAGGAAACAAGGCAGGCAGGCAGGCTTGGGGGAAGCTGGGTGATGGATTTTGCCCTTGCCAGGAGCTTCCAGGCCCAGAGTTGTGGGGGCGGGGGGTTAGGCATCAGTGGGTGGGAGTGACCTTGATGAGCTTATCCCTCAGGATGCTGGGTTTACTGTGAATGGGAGGCAAGTAGGAGATGGAGGAGCAGTCTGCTGACACAGCTGTGCGGTTTTGCTTGTGTGAGTGTATCAGGTGGATCTAATGTTTTAATCTCAGCAGCATTCTGTGTTTTTAATTCAAGGAGAACAGGCACACTGTCATCATCTGCCTCTGAGAACTCCTGGTTGCTGCACTTCAACCAATGTGGTACCCCAAGTCCACTAGTCAGGATCTGCTCCATGCTGTGGGCTGATTATAAGTGGCCTGGAGTTGCCCGTGTGCTCCGTACCCTTCCAAGGTTAAAAGAATTTTAAACTTAATTTCTAGTAACCAAGCAGAGCATTGCTGTAGTGTTGTTTGATTTGAACCATACAGCAAACAAATCTGGAGTTGGGTGGGGCTGTAGGCTGGAGTCTGGGGTCTGCAGAAGTGCACAGATACTAGGAATCTTGATTGAGCTGGGTCCTATGCAGCCTAATAAACCTTGCAGTGTGGAGCTGACAGGAGCGACTCAGAGCAGGCCGGGCTGCTGCACTAGCAGCATTTCCTGTTGTGCCTGGGCACAGTGATCATGCTGAAGGAAGTCGAAGGAGCTAGAGGATGAGGAGGGGTGGTGAACAGAGGACAGAGTAATCTTAGTGATCATACCAGCTGACCCTCACTTGCCACACACTTTCCTATGCAATCCCTGGCTTTGCATTTTAAGTTTAGAATCAGCCCAATGTGCTGGGCTGATGACATTTCAGTGGTGATTTTGCATGCAGAATTCTCTGTCCAATTGTTTTGCTTGTTTTTTTAAGATCCTAAGTGCCCATGGAATTCAGCAAATTTAATTGGGAAAGAATGAAACCAGAATGTATGCTATGTGAACACAAGGGCCTTCACTGTGGCCACCAGAGGGCGCTGCAGGCTTGCCTGTGAGTGAAGCCAGAGGCCAGCAGGCGCCCTCATTGGAGTAGGGCTGAGACATGAAGGGCTGTGCTCCCAGCTTGTCCTCCAGGAAACCACATCTGTCTCCATTCATATTGAGCACTAGTCTCACTGCCTAGGCTCAGTAGCTCCAGGAGTCAGTGGGGAGGTGTGGGCAGGATAGCATGTGAAGCCAATGTCACTCAAGAGCATATTTCAAAAAAGAAACAAGCAGCAGGTGCTCTGCATGTTTGGCCAAATTCTTTTCTGGTGATTTTTTAAATGGTCCTAAAGCAAAATGCTTTGCCAAAAAAAAAAAAAAAAAAATCCGGATGGGTTATTGGCAGTGATAGGTGACCATGGGTAATCAGGTCTGGCACTTTCAGCTCACCCCAGCTGCACAATCCTACCCACAGTGAGCATGCTCCCTGCCTATCAGGTAAGATCCTGGCACATTCTGTCCTGTATAGCCACATTATGAAGGAGTTGTGTGAAAAGAAGTCACAAATGTGAATCTAATCTACCTGTCTCACCAAGACTGGAGGTGCAACAATGTTTTCAGTGTTACGTTCTAGAAATGTAGGTACATTTCTTTAAAGTCAAGCCATCAACTGGGCACCAGTTTCCTGCTTCCTTCCATTTGCCTGACACATTCTCACAAAAATTCAGGGTGTGCAATTGTGAACCACACTGGAAGTTCATTTTCTTGCCCCTCTGAACAGAACTTTAAGGAATGCCTACTTTCATGTCATGAATTTCTATGTTAATATGCTTGGAAATCTTAGTGAGTTGAACCATCACTGTTCTGCAGTCAGTTTGCAGACAAAGGTAGAGTTGTGAAGAGTGAGGGGGAGATGATACAAATCAGTTTTACACAAATGTGTCCCCTTTTGTTGTGAAGGACATTGGGACTTGGGCAGGCTCATTCAGGTAACTAGTGTACCTCCTCACAAAGTAGGCTGAGCCCTCATCCAGGCTGTCCTTGATTATCCTGTTTGGAATGGGTAGAGTTGTTCGGCACTCTCCTGGGCCTATGCCCAGTGTGAGAGAGGGAGGGTGGTGGGCTGCTCCTAGACCAGCAGTTCTCAAATGCATATTAGACACGCAGATTCTGGAACCTCATCCATACCCACCGAATTTGAAACTCGGGGGTACTTGGGGAGCCACTGCCCTTTGAGTGCCCCTATTACTGGTCCCACCTACCCAGCCCTACTTTGGGTACCTGCTTACTCCTGCCCTCTGCTTTCAGAAGGCCTTGTCTCTGGTCTCCACGTGGCTTTTCTTGTTCCCACTATTGATCTACTTCAGTGGAAATTTGGGAAGAAGACAAGGTAAGCATGTTAATTTCCTTTATCTTGAACCAAATCCCATTGCTAGCGGGATTTCTTTTTCTGCCATTTTTAAGTTTTTTTTTTTTTTTTTTTTAACACAGTCATTAGTTGCTGCTTTGAGAGGTCACCTCTCCCTGAATCCTGAGTGGATAACTGATAAAACTCAAAAGGAACAATGAACTGAAAATATGAGCCATCAGAACTCCACAGCCAAAACTGCCCCTCAAAGCTGTCATTTTTTGTGTTGTTTTCTGTCATTATCTATTCGCTTTAACAGTTTAACTTGTCATGCAGTGTGTTCTAGTTGGTCATCCCACGTTAACTTGCACTATTGTGTGCATGTAGCAGTCATGGGCTTGGTGTCGTTCCCCCATCCACAGGCCCTGCGGAGGCTTGGCCCCAGGCTCTCTCAGAGCATGCATATCATTTAACCTAGAATCTGTCATGTCACACCACCTCTCCATTCTGTGTACTTCAGATCCTGGAGGGTAATAAAAATGTGAAGTGCCTCATGTGGTCCCTTGCTACCTTCTAGCCAGTGCAGAATTGGGTCTGTGTTCTTTTGTCTACCTGGCAAGTTGCTTCCTAAGGCTTTGGTGTGGTCTCCACTTGGGTAGCTGGGGGAGAGCTGTTGGTTATTTGCAGGAGCTAATCGCCCTCAAAAGCAAAGGGTACCAAGAAATCAGGGCTGTAGACTGTGAGCTCTGGATTTTTGGAGTCAGGAGCTTCTACCACCAACTTGAAGGAAAAGAGGAGGGCAAGGCACAGACTGAAGTCAGGAGCTTGGGGCTCCCAAGCATTTGCCAGGGACTCTGCCCTCCTCCAGTGGACCAGCCTGGCAGGATGGCTGGGTTTGGGCAAAAAGCTTGAGAGAAGTGTGTGTCCACAGTGTGGCTTGTTCCCTCACCTGGCCCCCACCCCAAGACAGCTGTGTTCTTGAACTCCACATTTAGGTGGCTTGCATCCCTGCATTTTCAACCAGTACTTCCCTTTGAGGGAAAAGTAAGTTTCCTGGAGAGTCCTTTATAAAGACATTCAGCTCACAGAAGTTTTTACTGCCATGTGGAGCCGTCTGTTAGCCCCAATACCTGAAGCAGGTGGAGTAGGAGAATGGGCCTGTGCTGGCGGAGCATATGGTTCTG